CACACACACACACACACACACACACACACACGGGCTCTGGCCTGTGTCACTCTGAGTGACAGCCACAGTAAGACACGTGGTGAACGTTGGAATAACAGAACAGAGGAAGAACACGGGTCGGATTTTCTCAAACGTATATTTTTATGAACTCCTCGCCTCCTCTGACCGTCTGACTGTCACAGCAGTGACGCCCGTCATCCTCTAGGGCTCGTCTCAGTGAAGGGGAGCCACATCTCATATAGGGTCAGTGGAACTATAAAGACATAAATCTGATTGGCCGTCAGCACCACGCCCTGATATTATTAGACCGACGTAATCCGTCTGCAGTTACACATTGATGACACTTCCTTATTTTCTACTGCAGTGATGTGTCTCTACACAGCAGGAGAGAGAAGGAGAGACAGTCAGTTTGGCTGAATGTATGGTTGAAATTAGGCCCAGACATTAGGATAATGATTTAATATCTGTTTTTCCTCCATAGTGAAAACCCGATAAAGCAATGCCTGGGTTTTTCCAAATGATGTGTGATTTAAAAAAAAGTTATGGGGATAAACGGCTGTATATGAAAGTGAAAGTCACTAGATGGCAGCATTGCAGGTCATTTAATTAATCTATTTTAATAATCAGGGCAGTGAAATTAAGTTTTTGGACAATATCGGCATATCGGATACGGGCAAAGTTAATATCAGACAGCCCTAGTTTATATATATATATATAGCATGTGACCTAATTAAGGAAGATGGTAGGAAGTATAAGTAACAAGATTGGATATAAATGGAGAATCCATCTCAGACGTTTGTGTGGTCAAGGTCAAGGTCAAGGTCAAGGTCAAAGTAGGCCCTCTTGTGGTATTAAATTGAATTGAATTAAATGATGGATGTGGTCACGTAGACTAGGGAATGATCTGTTTAGACTACTCTTAAATTTGAACTTCAGTCAGAAACGACGTCCAATTATCTGGGCCACAGGTAGCTAACTTTATATTTGAAATTTCCACTGAAGACACAATGTTTTCCCAGGGCGTTTGTGTATTTTTAGCAGCAGAATACAAGACTTCACTCATTCATTTTCTATCTTTTAGTCTCTTAGAGGGTCGCAGGGGAGCCGGGTTAAACTTCACCTTCACCTTGTCCAGTTCACAGACGGTGTCTGACTCTTTCAGGCTGTCGGTCCAGTTTTTTTATGTTGTTTAAATTTACTAGGGAGCATTTTTTATATGTCGTCAAACGTCATCACAGCCGGTGAACGTAGACATCAAAGGCCTTTTCCACTGTAAAGACAAATGTGTCTCATCATCATCTGTGGACGGATCTCACTTCATGATTAATTGAGATCGTTAATAATCACGATTAATCATGATTAATCAAGTAACTAAATCAATCAAAAGTGGATGGTGTAATTATTGGATTTGCAGTGTTGCCTTTATCAACATAAAATTTAGAATACATAGAATTGTTTTTTTGAAAGACAACTGAGATTCTAGATGGAAAAAGGAAAACTAATTTTCAACAATAGACTCTCACTTACTCACACACACACACACACACAGGCAGCCTGTGCAGAGTCACATAAATTACAGCGACTGTGTCAGTGGGAAGTGGCCGCACAATGAAAAAGCCTTGTGTGTTTACGTTGACTGGTGTTGATGACAGGTATAAATCCGTCCTCATGAGGACAACAGACCACTGAGGGCGCGACAAACATCCAGATCCATTTTTCATGATTGTGAGGAGAAAAAAAAATCCTAGTTTTAACATACGACACGTAAACACTGTTAACAGGAGGTAGAAGTCAAAGCAGGTCAGAGTTAATAATAATGTCATATATTATCTTTACAACAGTGACACTGACGCCTCTGATCCATACGGACGTGTTCTCAGGTTTACTACTAATGACACCTGTTCAGAACATATTGACCAATATATATCTCTCTATATATCTACAATTAATAATCAACCACTTGTTGTTGATTTAAACTTGTAAGGCGCCTCCCTGATAGACAACCTTTACCCTATTGGAAATTAGCTGCTACTATAGCACATGGTGTTAAAAACAATGAAAAACCTGCTACTTAAAAACTAGGATAAACTGGCTAAAAGTGAGCAAAAAGCATCGTAGCACATACAACAGTCCAGTGATCAGTGACTACTGATCAACTCAACTAATAAACAAGCATTTCCATAATTAACGACCGTTCCAGTGCAGCTTTAATCAATCAAAACCACATCTGCCAGCTTCTTAGAATTTCTTGAATTAATTCTACTTTCTCACTTAAAAAAAAAAATATATTTTTTAAATGGACACAACTGCTGACAATTCTTATAGGCCAAATGAAAAAAAATCGTTTGATTAATCGATAGTAACAGACGTGTCATACTGAGCTCATTAAAAAACGGATTTTAAAAGTTATTAAATTAATTTAATTGTGCATTCGGGCCTAAAAATACTAATATCGATTATTTAATAATACTTGGTATCAATATGTCTGATAACCAAAGCTGTATAAAATGAAAACATGTTTGAGAGAGAGAGAGAGAGAGAGAGAACTTAGAAACAGCTGGATCCGCCTCCCTCCTCCTCTTCCTCCCCCTCGTCCCCCCCCCTCTCTCACTCCTCCTCCAGGTCTCCTATCTCTCCTCTCACCTTTTCCTGATGCTCCTCAGAGTTTTGTTCGACCGAACACAGAACATCTGATGTTAATCGGAATCCCAGCTCAGATCCGATCACTGTAATCACTTCTCAGCTCAGTGCTCGACCTCCAGCCTGTCACCACCCGCTGCACCTTCACGGATGTCCCACTCCACACAGAGGATATGTACCAGGGAATAATGAGCACCAACCACGGACCCTCGTCCTACGAGGCCGGATTTCTGCACAACTCCTCGGCTGCCACCTCCCCGGTCTATGTGCCCACCACCCGGGTCGTCACCCCCATGATCCCGGCGCTGCCCTACCTCCAGACACCCGGGGCGTCACAGCAGAGCAGCCCGGTGTCCACGCACTCCGCCTGGGCACAGCCGGGTGCGGAGTCGGTGTCCTCCTACAACCACTCACCGGTGTCTCCGCGGTTCTCCTTCTCCACCAGTCCGCCACTGTCCTGCGCGGTCTCCACGGCCCGGGACACGGTGGCCTCCTCCTACAGCAGCCCCCTGAACATCCCTACGAACGGCAGGGAGCACTACGGAGCCCGGGGCCTCAGCGGCTCCTACCACAGTCCCTACACCGCCTACATGAGCCCCAACATGGGCGGGACGTGGCCGACGTCTCCCTTCGACAGTCCGGTTCTCCACGGTCTGCAGGGCGGTGCTGCTGCAGGATCTGCACGACATCCAAACATAGGTGAGAGTCAAGTGTGTGGATTATTTTCTGCCTTCCTGAAAATGACACATTTTCATTTGAAGTAAAGTTCCAGCAACAAAACTCTGTGCAGTCTTTAAAACAAAACAACAAAAAACTCACAACAAACACTGATAGAAAATAAAAATTATATTTGTTGATGTTTTTTAATTTGACTGTTAATAAATAAAAACAGTATAAAAAAGACAACACAATTTACCTGTTTAAAATCTTTGCTTGTGACAAAAATAATCAATAACAAAAGTGACTTCACTTTATTATTGTTTTCGATTTCAATCCGATAAACCTCACAATAATTTTTGATTCATATTTATTTTTTATCAGACTAATGCTGCAAAGTTTAAAAAAAAAAAATATAAATAAAACCTATTACAAAAGATTTAAAGAAAAAAGACCAATTTTAGTATAATATTTAAATGTTGAATTTCAGACATTAATATTCACTCGCTGCTTTTTAACAACGGTTATGAAAACAAAACCAAAAGAGAAACAACAACAAAAAAACCTTAAAAAAATCACAGTTGTATCAGAAAGAAATCGACGTTCAATCATACATGCGTCGTGGTTTTATTGAAATAATATTATGAAGGAATGATCAACATTTATTTTGTATACTTTTGTATTTCGATGATAGATTTATCTGAAATGAATTCTGAATCCGTTGCGGGTTCCAGTGACGTAATCCTAAAACTAATCCCAATAATTAAAAAGCAATGAAGATCATAAATAACAAATGACAAAAACAAACCCTATAATATTAATGTAATTAAATATCTTTAAGACCTTAATTATAGAGAATAGAGAATAAATTGATATTTACGGTCATGTCGAACACGCGAGTCTGTTTTTGGTTTAAAAAACTTAAAAACACCGATTCATTCACTTTGTATTTGTAGAAACAAACTTCCAAAAAGGATCAATTTGTTCCAAACTACATTTATTTTTTAAGGCACAAACTGAAGCCCACCGTAAAATAATAATAATAATAAATTAACTTAGCGCTGTCGAACTTTGTCGCAGACACCGCGCGTCTTTACAAAAATTAAATTAAATAAAATGATGGCATTTTCGTTTACAACATCCGAACTAAATGTGACATTTTTTATAAAATGTTACAAATAAAAAAATAATTTAGTTCTAATTTACAGCATAACATTTAGAAGAGTCATTTAAAAAACGATATATAAAAGGAGACATTTAGAGACAACTGAAAGTGAAAATAATTTAATGTTGTCCCAAACTGTCCCAAAAATATATTTTGTATATGTCTCTTAATCTGGAGATTGAGAGCGACAGAAGTGACTATGACTGACTATAGTTGACCTTCTGGGATTATAATCTACGGGCGGTGTGGATGTAGAAGATCAAATCCTGACCTGCAGGGGTTTTTTCTTCCTTTATATTCATTTAATGCAGAGTTTATTCTGAATCACGTGGGGATTCATGTGGTCTGACTGTGTGAAGCTGGAGCTCAAACCTGACTCGTTCTGACTCGAACTCTGTTTTCTTGTTTTGGATTTATTCGGTGCAAAAATGTGAAAAACAAAATCTCAAATGAGGAGGAGGCTAAATATTTTTTTTGTTTTGTTTTTTAGGAAACCACCAACGAAAAAATAAACAATTTGGTTCAAGAAACAACCCTTTTTTTACCTTAAAACCTAAAAGAATATTTTGTTTTAGGGGTTGTTGACCAACCTAAAATAAATCAATAAAACACAAGTTTACGTAATAATAATTAAAATCCCACAGTTGGGAAACTGGTGATCTGTGTTTCTGCTCCAATTATTCAGGCTGAAACCAAATAAGTTGTTTTAATCTGTATAACAAACGTGTCAAATTGACAACCTGATGATTAAAACATAGTTGATAATTCAGCCACTGATTAATCGAGTCAACCCTAATTTGATGTGCATACATTTGGCCTGTACAGCTGCAGGTTGTCGGTCAGACTCTGGCCTACAGAGGATTAAAGAGGGAGGGATTTCACCACGCATTGATTTTGGCTGATTTTCGGGGTCAGTTTTCCAGTGGTGTGACTTTAGTTTGGTATCGTCCCAATCCCTCATCAGAAACCTGGGCCTTTACCTGTGTTTGCTGTACAGCTGCAGGTTGATGATGATGTCTGCTCCTAATCACACTGCTTTACAGATGATTCAATCGTTGTTGATCAAATTATCTGCTGATCTTTAAAAAGAAGAAGAAAACAGCTGATAATCACTCGCTCTCTGAGCTCTCATTAATGTGTGACCTGTGTGCTGATAATGTGAACCGCTTTAACGTCCCCATTTACAAGGTCGTCCTCTTGGACTGCTGGATGAAGGAGGAGGGAGAAAACCAGATCAGCAGTCAGAGATAAGAGCATTGATCCAATCTGAACTGTCGATCTGATCACAATCAGACCAGACTCACAGTTCGACCTGGATCCCTGATCAGAGATCAGTCTCCAAACTCAGCCATGTTCTACCTCTGAGTTTCACTCAGTGTCTGTCAGTCATGAGGAGAAAGTGCCAGGGAACAATGACACGCTGTCACTGTCAATAGTTCACAGTTACAGCGACCCCTGGCTGTGTAAAGAACAACCAGGACAATGAGCTGGATTTCTTCAACGGCCAGAAACACCTAATGATCTCTTAAGATCGACCTCTTAGATGATTCAAATACAAAATAATAAGAGAAAATAAGCACACGGTATAAATATTTAGTCATACCTGGGCATATTTTTCTCAACAATTATATAAATGAATAGAACCTAAATTATATAGAAAAAAATAGAAAATGAAAAGACCAGTCAAAATAATAATAATAATTATAATACCTACCCTTTGATGGATTTCACATATTCTCCTCATGTACTTCAGATTACTTCAGATACTGCAGTATCCTGTCCTTGCTCGTTGACAGCTGGGATTGGCTGCAAATCCCCCGGCTCCTGAGCCCCCCTGCAAAGATTACAGCAATAGACAATGGAGTGATAAATATTAATATTAACAGAAGTAGGAGAATTAGTATTAGTAGTATTTACTGCTGTAGTAGTAGTAGTAGTAGTAGTAGCAGTAGTAGTAGTAGTAGATCATTTCAGCTTGCTTTTGTTCACTGAAACATTATAGTTTTGATTGAAGATGTCAACACTGTCACTATTTTATTCTCTTTTGGACTTCCTTCATCCTCACATGTACATCTGGTTCACCTTTGACCTCTTCCTGCACAGTTGTTTTTTAAACAACCACACCACGATTGTCGGTGTGTATCTGTCAAAGATACACCCTGACATTGGTGCAGCGGAAAAAATAGAACCCTGCGCTCAGATAGAGGTGTACAGAGCCGCAGTGTCTGTGTGTGTCTGTGTGTGTGTGTGTGTGTGTGTGTGTGTGTTGTCTCATGTTGCTGCCTTGTGTTGGCTACAGTCACTGCTCACAGCTCAAGGTTAGGCTGCCCTGCCGTGTCGTGTTTTCTCTCAGCCTTGGAGGAGGCCTGCATACACTTATGTATCACAGCCACCTCCGTGTCAGTGAGGGAGGGGCAGCTTTTCACCCCCACTCCTCAGACTGAACCCACTGACAGTGGGGGCAGTGGGCCGTGGTTTTCTGCAGCTCCTCAGATTATTTTAGTCCAGTTTGTGTCTCACTTCATAAAAAGGGCTGTGGGTGGATGTCCTCCAACAGCCCAGTGTTTCTTCGGTCATACTCTAATGTGGCAGCTGAGACAGTGAAGACCACATTCATCAGATGTCAGTGCGTCACAGTCTCTAGTCCAACACCATGCAGCTCTGCTCTGCCTCTATTTCCAGCTAACTCTTTATCTTCACCAGAGCTGTGAGATAAGGCAGGAGTCCAGACCGCTGTTCTGTGGGCCTGTGTGACCTCAGCCTCTGCCTCCTGCTGGGTTATAGGTGTTACTGCACCATTGTGTTACCCATGTTCGGGTTCGGCAGTGCAGGTGGATGATATAAGAGACTAATTGTTTTAGATCACAGTGATCCAAACAGTGGCCTCTGGGGCACAATTTGGTACATGGAGGGATTATGTTAGGTAATAAAAACTCAAAAACTAAAAAAATCTTTTTACCTTTATAAAATGTCTTATGGGAACATTTAAGCTCATTTTGTTACAACTCATTCAATAATATTTAGCTTTATTTGGGCCCACATATATAGAAGCACATGTACATTGTGGGTAACTCTAAAGTCTTTCTGACCCAAACTTTCAGATTAATTCATTCACATTAGGCAGTGGCTGGAAAAATCTGACAGAATGAACATCAGGTAACTGGAACTTCTATATGACTTCTTCTCTACACAGATTTCTTCGATGACTTCGCCGAGGGTCGAGAATGTGTGAACTGTGGGGCCATGTCGACACCCCTGTGGAGGAGGGACGGTACTGGACACTACCTGTGTAACGCCTGCGGTCTGTACCACAAGATGAACGGCATCAACAGACCTCTCATCAAACCACAAAGACGACTGGTGCGTGACAGCACACGGCACCACACAGGCTTTTCCACACTAAATATAAAACATTATTCTGTAACTCACATGTTCACTCTGTTGCAGTCTGCCTCCAGGAGGGTGGGCCTGTCCTGCACCAACTGTCACACCACCACCACCACACTGTGGCGACGGAACGCAGAGGGAGAGCCGGTCTGTAACGCCTGTGGTCTCTACATGAAACTCCACGGGGTGAGAGAATAAGAAAATTTAAACATTATATTTAATATATTTTCTATCTCTCTATCTATACAAACACTATCACAACATGCCAGATATTAGACTGTAAACAAGTAAGGTTAAAGTTTTTTTAGGGAACACTAATAAAAAATATCACTACCACATATAACTACATAAATCTGTATTCTAAATAACAACTCTTAACAAATCATAATCTGATTATGGTAGATGTATGATGGACAGTTACAGATCAAAGTTCTAGAACATATTCTCAGTCTTCTTCTCTTTGCCTTGTTGTCTTCACAGGTACCCCGACCCCTGGCTATGAAAAAAGAAGGGATCCAGACCCGCAAACGTAAACCCAAGAACCTCAACAAGCCACCGACAGGTACAGCACACACAAATAATAAAAAAGTGCTAATCTAAAAAATAGATTGAGAACTTTCATGAGCAAATTACTGCACACAGGACTTAGAGAGAACCTTTGTGTATCCTACCGTTCAGTGTACGTTGATGACCGAGGTTCTCTTTTCTACAGAATCCCCCGGCAGTGAGACCACTACAGTCACAACCAGCAGCACTCCTCGCACTGCTGCCCCCAGCAGCAGCAACAGTAGCAGCAGCAGCAGCATCAGCAGCAGCAGCACAGAGGAGCCTCGACAGATAAAGACAGAGCCCGAGGCTCACAGTTTGTTCATGCACCACAGCGCACACACACAGGTGAGGTGGACTGTTACCTGCTGAAGTAAAGAGCACAGACAGACAATGATCCATCAACAGTGTAGCGGGCGTCAAATTCATTCATTTGTTCAAACATCTGATGTGTTTCTGTTACACAGATCTCAGCCTTACCAGCCTACATGTCAGCTCAAGGTGGCGCTATCCCCCTTAAGATGTCACCTGGCAGCCTCGGTGTAACTTCCAGCTCCAAAGCCGAACCCTGGAACAACCTCATCTTGGCTTAAACAATATTCTACAACCAAGGGTCTCAGATCAGTTCATCCACATCAAGTCAAACTCTTTTGACAGACTAGAGTCCTGGTGCACAGATCTGGATGCAGATGATGTCACACGGTCTGTGGAGCAGAGATACAGAGCTGCACCGAAACCACCGCTGTCCAGGACTGAAGGGAGCGTCTGTTCACCCACACAAACAACAAACGTTTGTAATGAAAACTACAAAACAGATGTTGATGTCAGATGAACCCATATTTTCAATATGGGTGCTCCACTGAAACTGTTGTGAAAACTAGTGAGACTTAAATGTTATTTTATTGAAAATATTCTCCCTTTTTTTATTTGACTGATCTAAAGACAACAAAACATCAGAAACTAACAGGTGGTGAATATTTTGTTTTAAAGGTAGCACCGTTCAGTTGTTGAATGGAGTCACTTTCCTTCAACAACAGCAGAGACTCTGAACAGAAGGAAACACATGTGATTTGTCATTTAAAAATCCACATCCACTGTGTCGACACCAGCTGAATGTCATTTGTTGGTGTTTATCCAAAGATGCTAACACGTTGTTCAATTTACAGGTGTTTAAATGGGACTGAGCTAGTTCTCCCAGTTCAAAATAAATCTTGTTGTACTGTTATATTTCCGCACCGTCCATGTGTTGCTGTGGAATTTTACAATAGCAGTTTGTTATTATATAGAATCTCAGTTGTAATGGGGTTACAGCCAAAGTCTTAGCAGCATTCTGTCACTCTGAGTAAACACTGAGGGTAAAAGAGGTTTAGGTTGTGTTTGTTTGTTGTTTGATAATTAAATGTAATCTAATACAGACAGGTTAAGTGAAAAACCACAGTAGTTTGTTGAAACTATTTCATAACAAAAACTGCACCATATTTTCTCAGTGCAATAGAAACTGCTCCCTGAAGTGAAAACCTGGATCAGTTTCACGGTGTGACACCCATGAGTTTCAAATATAAACATTTTTTAAAAACTATGACATCATAAACTACAGAAGATGCACATGACCGATATAATGTGAATATTTACCTTACCACAGCGCCCTCCATTGACACAAGCGCAAAAGTGCATCCAAAAGAAAAGCCTCATCCAAATAGATCCCGTTGCTATTTATTACTATCATCATCGCCAACTCAAACCGTATAATAATCTATAATAAAGAGAATATTTGGTAAATATTAATATTTATGAGGGCATACTGTACAGATACTACACAGTACGTGTGCTACACCGATATATACGTATGTTTGTGACAAGCACGGAGGAGAGCACCGTGTATAAATGTGTAAAAAGACTCCACTCCAGTATAATTGTGTAATACAGCGTTTGTTAAATACTGTAAGAAAGACACGGTGACCTGTGAAGGCGTGTACCGTGTCTCAGTGTGTACTAACTCTATCTGACACTCGTCCAACTGTAGCTCTGATGGAGCCTAATAAAGACAAAACATTTGGATGTAAAACAACGGTGTTGTGATGCTTTAAGAAAAAAATGTCATGAAAAAAGCTAAAATGCTAATATATATCCTTACCTAACCTTTTTTTTTTTTTTCAAAATAAAAGCTTCTTAACACAGCCCAGGCAGCTTCCGTTTTAACATGCAGGAAAGAGATTTACGCATTGACATCACCACGAGTCAATGACCACTAGGGGGCCTCCGTGTGCCACCATGGACGACCCGTGGTTGGGCCATGGGAGTTTTCTATAGTGAAATACTGTATGTTCTGGTTGTGGAGTTCACTGAGGAACTTGAAGCTCGGACATCTGTATCCTTCCAATGTGAAGAAATTTACTGGAGAACTTTGCAGCGTCATTGATGAAAAGTTCAACCACGCACTGATTGAAGTCTTCCGTCAGCCTCCCTCTGATTAACTCTGCATATTTGTTTTGCACCAATTCTGTCCAACACTGCTGAAACATGCGCCTCAGCTCTACCTGTAGATCAGCAGATAATTGGGAACCAAATGTGTGGTGGAGAGGGAACTCTTTGCCATTTTCTAAATGTTCCTCAAAACTTCCTATTTTGTCTGAAAGCAGAGCTTTTGCAGCCTCCGTCACAGCGTTCACCTCCAGGGTTAAGATGGCTTTGTCCTCCTCTGACTTACTTTCAGAAACATTATGCATTTTTTTGAAGATACTCCTCCAGTCGTGTTCCTGCAAAACTGTCTGTAAGAGAAAAGTCAGATTTCCAGATGTCAGCAGGTTTTTAACAGCAGCAGTCAGGTTTTTACTGAGAGGAATTAAATGAGTTCCTGCACTGGCTGCTTTAACATAGTCCTCATGGTCCTTGGTCTTTTTGATGCAATCCACTTGGCTGTAGTCAACGTCCCTGAACAGGGTTTCTTTGGTTCCTCTGAAGCCCCAGCACCTCATGAAACCCACGTGAGTCCTCACTCCGTACACGCTCCACCACTGGTGAGCTTTCTGAACCAGGTGAATCATGCATGGAGCCACATCTCGAGTTAAACACGGGCTGTTCATGGTGAAAACATAAACCTCCCAGCCTGCCGAGGGTTCTTCAGACTCCAGGAGATCCTGAGTTTGTTTGACAATAATGTCCTCGCTGTGTTGCCCCTTGTTGTACTTTGGAAAATAAGGTCCAAATATGAAAATCTCCTCCTGTTTCTCCACGACGGCCCATGAGTGCTGTTTTTCTTCTTTACCACATTCCTCCGTGATGTCACGATGAAACTCCAAAAACTTCTCGTTGACACAGTCATTCAGGAAACTGTTATTTGTGGCTTTCCTGGCACACAGCAGTTCCAGGACCCTCCTCACACACGACTCAGTGTCAGACCAGGATGACAGCTGCTTGGAGAGGAGCTCAAAGTCAGATGAGTTTCCAGCCTCTCTTTTGCTGAAATGACCGCAGCTTGTTCTAAAAAATATATATATATTATTTGTAAACATATAAAACAGGTTCTTGCCTATAACCTGTTTACTAATGTGTGAAATGTGGAAGTTAGATTTTTCTCTCATCTAACAATTGCATCCTGGGGGTGAATGTGGTCAAATAAATCTTACTTCCTCTTCTAATATATATATAATTTAAACTCAGAGGATTCTGGTTATCCCAAAAACAAATTTGATAATATGGTCAATAATTAGACCAAAGGACAAAAAGCCTTTTGACAGAGACACGTTAACACAGAGTTAGTAGGTATTAGGTTAAGTAAACAAAAAGTTGGAGATATCTGGAGATATTGATAAAAGCTAGTGAATTGTTTTCATCATGTTCAAGAAACGTTTCATTAAATCGACCTCAAACACTCTATGAGTCATGGACATGGCAATAAAGACAAGTCCAGGCTTATCCAACTACAGTATCTACGTGTATCAATGTTGTACGTAAAATGGTTCTATAGTGCCACGCAGTGGTCACAGTTTGTACTACAAGTGTGCGACAAAGCTTCTGCCGTGATCGTACTCTGATCTCTACAATGTTAAGATTTGAAATGAAAACGAAATGAAAGTCAGTCTGAGCCTTTGGTTGTGACTGTATTCATTTCACTCAGGATGTTTTGGTTCAATCACTGCAGCACGGAGTCCTGGTTTGATTTGCTCTAGAGGAAATATTTGGATATTTGAGGAAAAATTGTTTAACTTTGATGAGTTAAAGGTTTTGTTTTTATAGAAAAAACTCTTGACAAAGTACAAATATGTTTATATTTCTTAGCTCAGAACCACGAGAGTTAATGTAGTCTGACAGCAGAAAAACCTGAAAGAGCCTCATGACTCGAAAATCATTTCTTCTCACACTCACACCCACATTACTGTCATTTTCTAAGTTATTTTGAAAAAAAAAAACTTTGTATGAATATGTGTCTTACTGCAGTGGGGTATAACAAGGGGCTCCATTTGAGCAGGTGGGCTGACAGATGTCCAGCAGAGGTTTTGGACTGGCCAAACAATTCCTCTTGTGCAGTCGAAGCTCCTTTTCATATCTGCTGTGAGAAGGCCGTTTGAGTTTGAACCTGTAAAACAAAAAACAACAGAAGGATTTTATCCTAATACTGTAGTTTATAATTAAGAAGACACATACACACACAAGATGATGACCTGAGGAGGACAACGCCTTCACGTCATAAACTAAATTCTTCTCTTACATGTGATGTTCCATCCTCTCTCTTTTCTCCTGGTTCTTCAGAAATCAGAAAAAATCTTCTGTTTTCTAATCAGGTTTATCCCCTCTTCTAAGTTAGGTAAGGTCAGATTACACACCTGAAAGTTTAGGGCTAACACAACAAAGTCACAGCTAAACTGTTGCACTCTCAACTCCACCCCGACTTTTACTGACTGTATGCTCGTAGCTGAATTATTTCACATCTTTCCAGTCAGACCAGTTACCAGATGCATGTAGAGAGAGGTTGAAAATCATTTCAGGATTGAAAAAAAACCCCCCATTATTATATGACATTATAACAGGAAATTATTTTTTCAGACAGGAAGTATCCACTACGACACATATGAGCAGATTCCCTATAATAATGACAACTGGAAATAGGCATAAACAGTGGTTTACATTTGGAGTAAACAGTGGTAAATATATAGGGCGTTCCAGATTGCACTGGTTTTAGTTCAACACCTTTCTAAAACAAATACAAAATAAATTGCTTAAAATTAGGCATGAATTTAAGCTGGAATTAAGTATTAGCACACATGTAACTATATATATTTGAACTAATACGATGTTGTCCTTCCTGCAAGCACAGAAATGTTGATTAAAGAACATTCGAACAATATACAACTTAGCCACTAGATGTTGCTAAGTCACACATTCTACACACGAAAACGACCATAATATAACTGCAAAAGGTGTAGATTTTTTAAAATGGGTAAAAAAAACAAACATGTAAATGTGCGTCTTACACTGTGTACTCCTACACCTCATAAATAAAAGGCAAATCACTCTTTTTCGAAATTGTTCTTTGTGGCTACTGAGGACAGGTATCCCCTGTGGTGTTATATAACTTCATTTAACAGGTAGGACTTCGTTTCCTCAAACGGATAAACCATCGACCAATCAGAAACCGCTGCACCATGACGTTTTCACTAAGGCGGGGCATCACACCAGGCGCTTTTGCTGCTCATTGGCCGTTCAGTGCTGAGCCCATGGCAAGCTAGCCAATCGTAGGAATGAGTTGATCTGCCCAGTGTTGTGACCGGGTTCTCGTTTCTCTGCTGTGGCTGCTGCGGTGGAGAACATCTCTGTATCATTTCGCACACAGAGAGTTGAATTTAGAGCAGTTGCAGTGGCACAATAACACATTTGACATCATGGATATTCTTAAATCGTTGGGTCATCCGGAAGAATTGATCAACCTCTTTAAATTTAAGATCGGAGGATGCAGAACTATCATGCCAAAGTTGGATTATGTAAGTAAAACGTCTGAGCATCTGATTTACTGTATTTTAGCTTCAAGGATGCGGAAGATGAACCTGCTATTAAAACAGGGAAGCATGTTCATCTCTGACTATGGATGCGTTGGTGTGTGATAAGCTTACAGTAGAAGAACACAGTCGGTTAATACATGCCTTTAAAGTCACATCAGGTCTGCACTCTCTGGTCTGTGACACTGGCAAAGATGAACCGATGACTTGGGATTTAGGTCTATAATGAGATTGTTAGCTTCAACAGGCTGTGCGCATGTTTGATGGTTAATCCGAACAGCAGCCAGAATGGAATTTGTTAACGGTGACGGTGGTGGCTTTGACTTTTAGTTACTGGACTGATTATATTGTTTTAAGGACTATTTTAAATTGTGTACTGGGTTTGAATGGGATTCAAAGTTTTTTGCAGAGCTGCACCAACAAACCCGTCTTACATGTGATCTCATTGGTTACAAACAGCCTTAAATTTGGCAAAAAAAACATAATTACATTGTAACAAATGACATGCAACATAACAACTGTTAAACGATTACCAAGTATTTGTGGCCCTTTTATATTTACGTTTACCTAGTTTGGACATTCACATGGATCATATTTTTATTTTTTATGCATAGTTAAACTTAAAATTATTAGGCGGTTCGTGAATGCCGTTTGAAGTGTGTGTTGGAAAAGTTAAATAAAATACATTTTTATGACAGATGTGGAAACACTGAGGAAGTTTGAGTAACTGTGGGAGGAGTTGCGTAAAATAACAACAACAGATCTATAAACGCTCTATTCAGTTCTAACCATAATTAACCGCGAGGTACATGTAATCTACAAATCTGTAGTGCGCTTGTTTTACTCAGCTCGACGTCCTTCTGAATGTTTTTGCGCGTCGCGCGACCCCGCAGTTCCCTTGTCCTCTACATGGACTTCATGTTGTTGTCTCACCCACCACCTGTGGCGTAGGCATGGACAGTTTTTCCGTAGCTGCGGGGCCATTGGTGCTGCTCTAGGGTTTCCGTATGGCCGGAGCATGTTGCAAGAGTACCGCGTCTCTATCTGCTTTCAAGCGCTCGCTGTCAGTGGCACCGCGGGGCAGCGGGTCCGCCCCACGGTCCATGCAGCAGGGCTGGAGGGTCGGGGAGCGCGGCCTGCAGGAGGCCGTCCGACCCACCAGTAGCGTCAGACCTGCCAGCTTTTATCGACACACGGCTTTCTCCTGTCTGTCCTACCAGGAGTCCATGAGCGAGAGTCTTCGGACCTGCTACCAGTACCTGAACCAGACCAGTCGGAGCTTTGCAGCCGTGATTCAGGCGCTGGACGGAGAGCTGAGGTGAGTAACAGAGAAGTGGGTCATGTCAGCCCAACACGGGTGTATGCAGGCATGTTGCCCTTCCTCCTCTGCACGGAAACCAAAACACGCAGGGTTAAAGCACGTTTCTCTTCTCATTAAGCACACTTCCCGGTGCAAAAAACAAACAAACACGGTCTCCCTGTAAAGCCAGTCAACAAAACGCCTATATAGCATTGCGTTAAAGGAATTCTGGTTCTCTGTCGATGCATGTCCCATCATCTCAGTCAGCGTTGTTGAGTGCACGGTGTTCCGTTACAAGTTCGTTTTAAGTCCAAATACATAAGAAAAAGGTTTGAATTAGAGCCTCAGTGTTTCAGATCCAAATCCAAGCTCCAGAAAGTACTGAAATATAGTACTAAAGTATTTGAAAATCAAATACTGCATTCCAAAGATACAGAAGTATTCTTGCAAAATCAAATACTGTGTAAGAGCATTCCAAAGATACAGAAGTATTCTTGTGAAGCTTGATAATTAGCAAATCTATAAGAAAGTAATTCTGTAACCTGCCTGTAGCAGGCGTTAAAGAGGTCAGTTCTAGTATTCCAGGTATGGACTCAGCTCCTGCTGCTGGTACTGTGGGTCTAAATTAGACTCAGTGCTCAGGTCAGAACTGTCAGGAAAGAATCGCCAGCTTTTTGTAAACACACAGCTTCAGTGTACATTTACCACTGTGTGTGTACTTGTACAGGTACTGGTTCCTCTTTCACACACGAGTGAACATGATCCACATTGACAGTTTGTAAATCTGAAACACTTCACTCACTCTTTGACTGTTTTAAAGATGACTCACCTCCTCTCCCCCCTGACCCCTCCTCACTCAGACATGCGGTGTGTATCTTCTACCTGGTTCTGCGAGCCCTGGACACAGTGGAGGATGACATGAGTATCCCTCTGGACAGGAAGGTTCCCATGCTGAATGACTTCCACACATATCTGTACCAGGATGAGTGGTGCTTCACTGAGAGCCAGGAGAAGGACCGGAAGGTTCTGGAAGACTTCCCTACGGTCAGTTGTGTTGAGTTAAGACATCAGGTAAGCTATTTATATCAAAAACATTTATATATATTTTTTCTTTGTCGTAGATATCGCTGGAGTTTAGAAACCTTGCCCGGGAATATAGAGACGTCATCTCAGACATCTGCCACCGTATGGGAGTGGGAATGGCAGAATTCCTGGAGAAGAAAGTGGGATCCATGAAGGAGTGGGACCAGGTGACCCCCCCCCCTCCCCACAACCTGTTGTTAGAATAGAAAAGAATAGAATTGTATTTTTGATATAACTTGAAATACATAACAAAAATAGTTCAAGCATCACTATTACATTGGAATATATTGAACATTAGAGGCAATAAAATAAAAACTGATGGTAAATAGCATGGTAATATTTTACAGTAGTTTTGAAGCTAATGTTTTTACTACTACTTTATAAAGGACAAAGGCATTAGAATAAATTAATGTTGTATACTTTGTCTCTGTTATTTTGGGTACACCTTCTTTACACCAGATTGGTCCTCTAGAGTGTACGTGTACCAAAAAAAATGACCTGTAATTGTGTGTAGATTAAATGGTTAAATAAATATTTTGCCCTTTATTAGTTCTTGCAACTGTATTCCCCTTAACTTGAATTGTTTTGGTCATTTTACACATTAATATCATCATAAAGGTAATTAGTCAAACCTACATTGGCGTTAGCATTACTCTGACTTACTTGTTTTATTCTGCAGTATTGCCATTACGTTGCCGGGCTAGTGGGCATTGGTCTGTCCCAGCTTTTTTCCGCATCCCAGCTGGAAGACCCTGAGGTGGGACAGGACACGGCATTGGCCAACTCCATGGGCCTGTTCCTCCAGAAGACCAATATCATCCGGGATTATCTAGAGGACACACAGCAGGGACGTGCCTTCTGGCCCAAAGAGGTGAGGACCTGGTCTTGTTATCAGCTGTGAGTGTGAGTATGAGATCTGTTTATACAACAAAATATTTGTACAACACAGTTTTATCTGTTCGTGAATAAAGAAAAGCTCAATGTTTAGGTAAATATTAACATACATTTTATCAGAGTGTGTTATTTTTTGTACCTTTTTGTGTGTCAGACAATTGGCCTTTTCCCACATGTCAGACCTGAATATGTTGGGTTCAGTTAAACTGGGCCAGGGTTCACAGTTCTACACTGAAAGAAGGAGATCAATGTACATCGTTGTCATATGCATCATATATACTTTTTGTCACATTTCTATACAGTGGTGATCCGGAGGGATGTCTTAGTGTAAAACATGTGCCGTGGCTCAAAATGTTGGGAAACATTGTTCTACAAGTATTCTAGATATTTAACATCTAGGTCTTTAAAGCCTTATGTTTCCCTCTACAGGCCTGGAGTCAGTTTGCAGGTCGTCTTGAGGACCTGGCTCATCCAGATAAACTGGAGTTGGCTCTGTCCTGTCTCAACCTGCTGGTCACCGATGCCCTGCGACACGTCCCTGATGTCATCGCCTACTTGTCTCGCCTACAGAACCAAAGCGTTTTTAATTTCTGCGCTATTCCACAAGTACTGACCCATAATGCTACTTTACACTGTTGCTCTTCTAAATCTGACAAAACAAATCTTCAGAGATCCCAGCATTAACTTGGTTTCCTACTTGTGCTTGCTATACCCCTGTTGACCAGGTGATGGCGATAGCTACCTTATCATCATGCTACAACAACCCAATGGTGTTCCAGGGAGTGGTCAAGATCAGAAAGGGACAGGCTGTCACACTCATGATGGAGGCCACCAACATGAGAGCGGTGCACACTATCATCTCCCAGTACAGCCAGGAGGTGGGGCTGTTGCTGTTGTTGTTGTTGTCATCATCTCCTCTGCTTGTTAAAATTAATCTCACCGGAACACAACTGTCTGTGCCCCCCCTCTTTTTGCAGATTCTACAGAAGGTCTCTGTCAGTGACCCGTCACGAGAGAAGACACTGCACACCCTGGCTCTCATCAGAGAGAAGTCCACGCTGTCCCAGTCCAGTCTCCAGTCCAGGACCCATCACCTGTCGCCCATGTACCTGTCTGCTGCCATGCTGCTGGCCGCTCTCAGCTGGCAGTACCTCAACACTACTGCAGTACAGACGCAGGGCACTGGTGACATGCAGGGATAATTAACCACTTCAGCCTCATTTCACTGGGAATAAAACAGACTGAAAGACCCCTCCCCACCCCGGGGGAGCGTGGTCTTCTATCAGCAGAAGAAGCCGATGCACATCATCAGAAGATGTTACAGAATGATGAACTGTTTAAGATTAGTTTATTTAATAGTGACTGTTGTTGTTTGGATATCTGGATTATCTCCTCAAATCTAGATTAAATAATTTACACACAGTTTTGTGTGATTATATTCACCAGCATATGATGGTTTATTTTAACAGTCAGTATTTACACTGATTGTATTTTTCCCCCCAGTTTCTTTTTTTTTGTTTTTTTTTTCCGACAGATGGAAATTATTTACAAATATTTGAATTTAAAATTAAATATGAACATTTTTTTTCTCTTGGGGTAAAATTGTTAAATTATGCAATAAAGGAAATGTTTTATAACTGGGAAACATGGTCACAAGTTAAGCTATTTTTTATTTGTCCCAAAAGTTGTGTTTTCTTTAAAAGCAACATTTGAAAAACTGTGTCAACACCATTTGTCTTTGTGTCTGAGCTCCTTGGATGTGAGGAAAATCCTGGGAGTCGTCTGTGTTCAGTCGATCTTTGTACTTTTCCTGTAAGAGAAACAAACTGAGTGAATATCAAAAATATATTTTTACTAGACAGTGAGTGTCACTGGGAATCATGGGAAATAAAGTGATACACTGATAAATGTCTGTTAGCTTAAGTGTCCTTAAAACTGCTTTGGTGAGAGCAAATGTTAGCAAATATATTTGATGAAATAAAGAGGTGAGATACGGTGAATCTTGACATGATCTCTAAGGTGATTATTTTAATATACACACTACATAATGTAAACATGTCACAGATTTAGATACAGTAAACCTGGTCTTATTTTCCATGCACATAAAGATTTAATTTGATTCATATTTAATGCTACTTTGTTTATAAAAAGATAATTTCTGATTGAGATCTGTAGGTTTCAAACCACCTGTTAACCTTTGGAACGTGGAGACTGTATTGGTCACATGAAATTTAAAGTGACACGACACGTGACACCACGTGTGGCTTGTAAAAAAACATAGGAAGACCAAAGACCAAAGGTGTTTCATTCTGTCGGAGTCAGAAGAGGAAGCAGACGGGTAAAACTTGGAATTTATAATATTGATATAGTTTTCATGATTTCTCTGCTGTTTTTAGAAAATAATTTGAATTGGCTGTTGACTTTGGTACAGAAAAGTTTCAAATTGTTTTTAAGTCTAAAACTTATATAGAGATTATTTTATTTTGCTAATAAACAGATATTGTAGAGATGTGATCTGTGATATTTTATAATACCTAGTTGATAAAAACTTTTAATTGACAGGGCTACCTCAGAAAAAAACAATACTAGAAATTTGAATTCAGATTTTTTGTTTTGGGTTTTTTTTTTTAGATTTCTCATCTTCATCACCACATAGTTGTGTCACAGAATGCATCGACCCGTTCTCCTGTACGTCCTTGCGACTGTTTCAGTCTCCTGGTCTGAGCCGCCCCTTCTCTCCTCAGAGATGGTCAACTTTATTAACCAGATCAACACCACCTGGAAGGTGAGCTGCAGCTAACATAGGAAACTGGAGAATTGCAGACAAGATTTCACTAATGAACTCAATGTTTCCTCACCGTTTTCTGAACAACGGCACATAATTTACATTACAATAAAACCCATGAAATTTAATGATGACCTCTTTTTTGTTTCTTATATCCAACTGCTGCCTCCTAGTGGATAATTATTGAATAGCTCTGCCTATCACTGTTGCATAGACAAATATAGACAAATTAGCAGTAATTTGCAGTAAATAAATAATAGTTTCCCATCCAATTATGTAAAATTGGATAATAAAATAAAATAATAAAAAGTACCACTGCACAGGGGTTGGAAATCACTATATTTACTAAAGGTAAAGAAAGTGATTGTGCTTCTAATCTCCACAATCCCTGTTTTCCAGGCTGGGCAGAACTTCCAAAATGTTGATATGAGCTTTGTGAAGGGACTGTGTGGGACTGTCCTGAACGGAGCTAAGCTGCCACAAGTGTAAGTTCTAACAATCATATAACACACACAAGGTGTGTGTCTTGGCTGGAGCTGCAAAATCATGTAAACAAAACATCACATCTACGTGTTGGTGCACGTGCACAGTCGAGCTGCAAAATCATGTAAACAAAGATACACATCTACGTGTTGGTGCACGTGCACAGTCTGTCACTCCTCCACCTCTTGCAGGGGAAGTAACACACACAGTATTTTCAGTTGAATCTGCTTTTTACTGAACCTGCACCTGCATCAGAACATCTCCCTCACAAGTGGAAGTAATACGTAGGTTTTCAAGACTAGCAGATGTAAAAATACACCTCATGAGAGACAAGTCTGAAGAGCAGTCCGTCACTGGAGGACAGGGTGTGTCTCTCCAACAATGCTGCAAGTAAATGTCTTTTATGAACCTGGTTTTAAAAAAAAGACTTAAAAAATCTACAAAAGAGGCAGTAAAAACAACACACAGGCAGATGGCAGTGTTGCTTCATTTGAACACAACACCATTCACCAAAGTACTTACACTGCAGTATACTGTACACCATGTTACTCTAATAGTCATGTTTGCCGTAAACCGTGAATTTCTCACTAAGACATTCCTGGGCGTACGGAGGGAAAATAACTAAATAAATAAACATTTCGCGTGCGCACCAGAAAATCACAGCCTCTTGTTAATTTCATATAGATAACAGTCAGTGATCTGCGGTGAGATTCATGGCTGCTGAGGCACTGACTCCTCTGGAGTCAGATTTGCAATTGTAAGAACCGAAAAAAGCAACTTATTTCACTATTCATCCAACAGCATCACCTGGTAATGCTTCATATCCATCAGCATTCCTCTTTCAATGACAACGACACCAACACAAAACAAATTAAAGTATAGAGATGAGTGCAGCACAAATTACATTTTGACCTACAGTCAAACTTTAAATTCTGGTGCCCTAATCAGATGTTGTCTATTAAAATGATAAGAAAAACAATATTTTAGGCATTTATTATTATATTTTTTATATTTATTTATTTTAGTTATCAAATACTTGAATTTTTTCTACTTTCTCCCATCTTATTTTTGAAAAACAAAAACTTACCTTTATAGATGAAGTCCATGTATCTCTCGGTTTCCCCTCACCTTAGCATTGTGGATGCTAATGTTTAGTGTCCGTTGCTCATCCAATGCCTAAACTATCCTTGATTTTTTTTTTTTTTAAGAAATCTGGCTTTAAATGTCATGGCTGATCTTTCATGTCTGATGAATCTTCTGCCCCGTAGTTTGAAGCAAACCTTTTAGCTCCAGCGTTAAACTTCCATCACTTATCATCTTCTGTTTGGACCGGAAGTCCAAACGCCGACTTTCAATGATCTGTTGAAGCCAGCTCGAGAGCACCTGTCAGTTCACGTACGGCCCCTTGAGGTGAGGCGGAGTACTGCCTGCGTCCTCTGCTGACTTTTCTCTGCAATTTCTTGTACGATCAGCAGGGACAATTGTCTCGCACATACATTAAAGACATTACACAGACTGTAGAGAGTCATACTGTATAACAAATATTTCTGTAAAGTTCATATTGGAGATATGCTGAGGAACAGAAACAGGCACACATCATGTGACCCAGTTTGTATTGGATGACGATTAAAACTTTTCTTAAACTAATCCAGTCTAATATCAAACATTTACAGGGACCAAAACACTTTGTTAAAATAGTGAACAGCCTTCATGAGATCACACTGACTTGATTTGTTTTATCAGCTGTGCTTCACTGTCTGTACTGTGTTCTTCAGGTTTCAAAATATTGAGGGTTTGCAGCTTCCAGACCACTTTGACCCCAGCCAGCAGTGGCCCGACTGTCCAACTATCCAGCAGATCAGAGACCAGGGCTCGTGTGGTTCCTGCTGGGTAAGAGAAGAGAAGAGTGCAAACAGAAAAGAAATGCTGGAGATTTCCAACTAAACCGTTTTTACGATCGTAAAACACAGCCTTAACCAGCATTGTTATCTATTTCAGTAATAGGTACCTGTCTTTGTCTGTGGATCTGTCCTTGGCCAATGTTGGTCATTTCTGATTCTGCTTCTCTGCCTCACAGGCCTTTGGGGCAGTGGAGGCAATTTCTGACAGAATCTGTATCCACAGCAGCGCTCAGATCTCTGTGGAAATCTCAGCTGAAGATCTACTGTCCTGCTGTGATGCATGTGGCATGGGGTGAGTAATCTGTGGCAGCAGAATAACTGCATTCAAGGTCTCGAGTTACATGGGGAAATGATAATCACTTACTTTTCATGTTCCTCACAGCTGCTTCGGTGGCTACCCCGCTGCAGCTTGGGAATTCTGGGCCAAAGAAGGACTGGTGACAGGGGGCCTGTATGACTCCAGAGTTGGTCCGTAGACACAGTAGTCAGTGAACAGATTTTAAAGTTCTGAATAGAAATCGACCGTGTGTCTTGGTGCTGCAGGTTGTAGGCCTTACTCGATTGCTCCCTGTGAGCATCATGTAAATGGAACTCGTCCTCCGTGTCAGGGTGAACAGGAAACTCCTAAATGCAAGGAGCAGTGCATCGATGGATACACACCAGCCTATCAGAAGGACAAACACTTCGGTGAAATCTGCTTCTTTGCTTAGCTTTTTTTCTGAAATCTTTGGATTTTAAAATTTTAAAATCCTTTGTATAATTTGTATTGTCAGGAGGGAAAATCTACAGCGTCCCGTCCCAGCAGGACCAGATCATGACTGAGCTGTACAAGAACGGACCAGTGGAGGCAGCATTCTCAGTCTATGCAGACTTTCTGTTATATAAGACTGGTGATATATACTATGAATAATTAAACGACTTTTAATGTTACATTGAATTTTTATATATTGCATGCACTTTTCTACAAGTTATCACAGAGGTGCTAAAGCTAACCACAGCGGCATTAAACCACCAGAGGGCAATTTTTGTGATATTCAGAAATGTTAAATGAATGAAAATACAATATTTCATCTTCAGCTACTAATATTATTATTGTTTTAACATACAGTTACAACCATTTTTATTCAATTATTTTTTAGGTGTGTATCAGCATGTGACGGGGGAAATGCTAGGTGGTCATGCCATCAAGATCCTGGGCTGGGGAGAGGACAATGGGACGCCCTACTGGCTGGCTGCAAATTCCTGGAACACTGACTGGGGAGACAAAGGCACGACAAGAAAGACACTTGTTGTCTTGGTTTAATCTTATTTTATATTAGAAAATTAACTGATATGTAAAAGTTTCTGTGTTTGAGAATTTGTTTTTGCAATTTCAGGATACTTCAAGATCAAGCGTGGAAATGATGAGTGCGGTATCGAGTCTGAGGTGGTAGCTGGACTCCCTCACAACTAGATCAAATGACTTCAAACTCAAGAGCATTTTGATCTGTTAATAAACTTCACAACATTGAACTACGATTATGTGTACTGTGTTATTGTACTATATATCTAATGTTAGCGTAGTACCTTTTTCAGCCACAGGTAGTGATGGCGCTACTGCAGTCGCAGCTTAACCACAGAAGTAGAGCAGAGTTCACGCATGCGCCCCAGTCCCTCTTGAATTTGCCGGTGTGTGTTAGGTGTCATGGCGGCGCTGGACATTTGTCATTGGTCCAAGGTCTAAACAGATGATGCGCGTCCTACCATATACGGTGAATGGGTCGTACCGGGGAACGTGAAGCTACAGCGACCGCCTACTGGTGAAGAAAACACCGCAGAGTGACGGCTGGGCCCTACGGCGGACACCGGCTCCTGTAGCTACTGTCAGTCAGCTGAACATCTCAGGAGTTCTAAGCCGGTGCTGATGAAGGAGGGAGGTTGTCGGATGAATACTCTGCCAGATCTCTGCTGAGGAGACGCTGACCCACATACACACAGAGAGTGACACACACACTTGCCGCTGACAGTCAGCAGATCATCGGTGGTCTCGGTCTGCTTTCATAGATTGTTAAGATGCTTCTGTCGCACCTGGAACTGTGGAAATCGTACTGGGAATGTGTTTCCAGACCGTACACCGTGTTCGTCTGCTCCATTACCGCCGCTCTCTACTTTCTGTGGGGCCGCAAATGTCAGGTCAGTGAAGGCGGATACATAAGCTCAAATAATACCCCATCTACAGTCATTACATATGTATAATCCGTTTTGTAATACAGACAGGGCATGTGCAGCTCCTATTGTTACAACTGTGTATCGGCAGCCATTAATTTGTACATTATCCCCAACATTAACCACAGACAGATCATTCATATTCATGACTTTAAAGGAGTATATGGTATGGCTAGAAATTTAAGGTTGGTGTTTTAAACAGAAGCTCAACCTGCAGGGGGAGCTATGTTGCTGTGTGCATGACCTGGTCACCGAGTGTGATTTTTTTTTTTTTGTGTGTGTGTGTAATGGAACAACTTTGGTCAAGAAGGATTAATACGTTAAGCTTATGTGATTAGAAGTTGCTCACTCTACCTCTGAGTCGGTACACAGCTTACTCAGCAGTTACATAAAAATGCTTAGCAGCTGCCCATCTATTTACATGTACACCTCTGGCGGGGTTGTGAGAATTAAATCAAATTCTCAGAACACTTCCAGATCACTCTCTCCTATGTCCTGGTCTGTGATAAATACATTGCATTTTTTTCACCTTCTGATTATGATATGTTTCAGTTTTGTCTAGGATGACACAAGTTTCTCACGACCTATAAGTCATGTGTAAACACATTATGGTGTGTAATTAATACAGTCAGTACATGACATGACATGTTATGTTATGTCAATACACTCATCCAAATTTTCTGTCTACCATAAAACTAGTTTGACTCTTAGGGACATATTGTTTAACTCCACGTGTCACAATTATTGGGATTAATGTTTTATCTTTTCCAGTGATGATGATAAGATAACCACACATAAATAGTCACTAATGTTCAGCAACAGCTCTTCTGTAAGTATTTCAAGTTTCATAGACCTTACTTTGCCCCGGGGGTAACCTGTCATCAAGAGGTGGACTGTATTATACAACTGTAGCTGTGTCATTTAGTCTGTTTTTCTCTTCCAGAAACCAGCTCTGGTGTGCAGTGAGTCATTCAGCGATTTCCTCCATGAACACTGCCCCCTAGTGGCTCAACGCTTCAGCCCCACCCCCTGGTGCTGGGGAGGCCGACTTCAAACCCTTGTCTGTGCCCTACTTAAATCCAGCCCCAAGATCACTTATCGCAAGTAGGATGGACTTCCTGTTGTTTCCCTGGTTTGTTAAAACCTGTGTTCTCAAATTCTGCCTTTACTGTATTTGTTTGTCTCTCTTCAATCCCTCAGTGAACTGATCCGTACAGTCGACGGAGGTCAAATTTCTCTAGACTGGGTGGACAATGACTTCAGTGAAGCTTACCCAGAATCCTCCACCCGTCCTACAATACTGATCCTCCCGGGTCTGACAGGAACCAGTCGGCAGCCTTACATCCTCCACGCCATTAACCAGGCCGTCAGTCGTGGTTTCAGGTCAGTTATTAGGAGTTTGCAGAAATCAGGAAAACACGAAAACCAGTAAAATTGAATAAAAAATAATTTATGTCTTCTTTAGGTGTGTGGTATTTAACAACAGGGGAGTAGGGGAGGAAGAACTGCTGGTAGGTGCAGTATTATTCAACAAAGATGGATGATTATATTCTTCGAGATGTATTCTTTCTGGGTTGTCAACTCATTATGTTTTTTTGTAATCACAATTAATCATTAGTGATCGCAATCAACATTCCTAAATATGACAGAAACATTTTGGTTTGTTAATTGCTGGAACAGAAAGACAAATAACAGCAGTTAGATGTATGTGTTTCTGTTTTTATTTGTGACTAATACAAATTATGGAATTCATAATATGGAAAACTGTCAAGAAAATGATGCAGAAGTTTAACTTTTAGTCATCACTGTGCGTCATGACTTGTAGAACAAGTCTGAAGCATCTGACCAGAAGCTGAAGCCTCCACAAACACATGCTGGACGTTGAGATGGTATTTAAAGCCTTTGTAACGGGTATACATATTAACGTGTGTGGACTGTGTATTAGAGCAACAATAAGTGGATGCTCAGTGGACTTAGATCTGTATGCAGATCTAATTAGGTTCTGATTAGTTTCACAAATTAACTAAATAAAATGTACATATTTAACAGTGACAGACAGTGAGGATTTGTTCTCAGTTTTTTCTGTCCTGTGTACGACTGCTTCTCTCAGACTCCTGTCACCTACTGCGCGGCTGACACCTCCGATTTAGAATTTGTGGTGAAGCACGTTAAAGGAGTCTTCCCTGCTGCCCCTGTCCTTGGTGTAGGCGTGTCTATGGGAGGGTGAGTCGCTCTCTTCCATGACTTCTGTTAAAGAATCACATCAGTTGTAAAGGCCTGACTCAGTTGTAATTTTATAAATCCTAAAGGATGTTGTTGTTGAACTACCTGGGCCGTAAGAGAAGCGAGTCGGGGTTGGTGGCAGGGTTCACCATCTCTGTTCCATGGGACGCACAGAAGTCGTCTGACTCCATGGAAGAACTGCTCAACTGGCTGCTCTTCAACACGTACCTCACAAACGGCCTGTGTCATGCTGTCACCAGGTCAGATGGGGTCACTGGTTTTTTATATGAAATTACAAAAATACATTTTTTCAGTTATTGTCCTAATAACTGTGTTATTGTGTTTCCTCAGACATAGAAAGGTGCTGGAGAAGGTTGTGGACATTGACTATGTTCTGAAGGTACAATGCCCTGGTTTTCTAAACAGCAGCACAATAACATTTGTTTTTAGAACTATTTTCAACTGATAAGACTGATTTATAAATGACTAACACCCCTGGAGTGTGTACACCTCATCTTCCTGACTCTTCTCTACACTCCCCTTCAGGCTCGTACCGTCCGGGAGTTCGATGAGCGCTTCACCACTTTGCTCTTTGGCTACAAGTCCTGTAAGGACTACTACGTTGACGCCAGCCCAGACAGGAAACTCCACAATACATCAGTACCCATCCTGTGTCTTAACGCTGCTGACGATCCCTTCTCTCCTCAGAACAGTGAGTCAGTGTGATCAGTTTTACATTAGGTCTTAAATTATCTTCGGCTCTGACACAGAACCACCTTCAGTCAAAGACCTTTTCAACTAAGGCGCACTACAGTGACTAGTTATGCAGGTCAATATTTGTACAATTTGACAATTTAAGCTGAACAATTTTTGGACAGTCAGTCTGTTTTGTTTTGTTTTTGTCTCCCCTCGCAGCCTTCCCTGTGACAATCGTGCAGGGTCTGCCCAACGTAGCCCTGCTGTTGACGGCCCACGGTGGACACATCGCCTTCCTGCAGGGCATGTTCCCTCGAGGGGCGAGCTACATGGAGCAGCTCTTTGGCCAATTTGTCCAAGCAGTCTTCGAACACCCAAGTGGCATAAACAAAGCCTGTGGGATCAAAGCGTAGACCACTCCCCCTTTGATCATTCCTCCTGTTTCCTCTGAGCCCAACTGAATGAAGGAGCAACTTCCGCCTGTGAAATTGAGATAAAAAAAAGTGTATTGCCTGGCTCTGCATGCTGCTGATCCGCCACACCACAGAAACACTGAAGACGACCAATAACACGACTTGACTGCAGTTGTACTAAACTACCTCTCGCCCTCGTTAGCTTAAATTTTCTCTTGAAGACAGTGAACAGTCTTAAAGAGGCTCCACAGTCGGGCAGTACGATGGGTTTAGATCATGTGTCTGAAAATGTGACTTTTCTTTCTTCCCTCCAGGTCATTCCATCTTCACAAGAAAACGAAAGAAACAACAACCTGATAATAACGTTTAGAAAAACGTCTAGTACAGTGGTCATTAACTGGTGACTCCAGGGCCACATCTGGCTCCTACCAATCAAACCGTCCAGTCTGGCCTGACTGGGCTCCAGATTACACAACAAATAATAATGTTAGAAATGTGATTTTGTACTTCCCCTTCTTTAAACTTTGCATACATGCGCTGTTCATCCAGTTTACTGTGCAGGTTTTAAACATGTATTTGAAGCTGAAAACGCACACAGCAGAATTACACCCTGAATAGTTGAACTTTTTTTTTTTTCCTTTTCCCACAATATCCATCCACACCAGCGGTTTGTTCAACTATGTAACCACTATTCTCCTCAGTGTCTCACAAGAAAGTCCTCAGTTTTTCTACGTCCATGCATTTCCACCACCCATAGATTTGAAAGAAAAAAAAAAACAAAGCCAGCAGTATTTGAAATGATGAGCTTTTTTAGTTTTAGTTTTTAGTGTGTTATTGTCAAAGAAAGGATTAATATACAACTGTGAGGTTCGTAATCTGTTCATTTATGGAAATGAACAGATAAGCAGTGATGCTGTATATACAGATACTGTTGTATATGCTTGTGAATAATGTGTCACCTTAGACTATGATGTGTTGACGCCGTACAAACAAGCTCTTCGTCTGGTGGTAACCACTGGCGTCTCTTCCGCACACGTCTTTAAAGGCAGAGCCGACTGAAATGTGAAGACGGAACACCTCTGACATCCGACCTGACGACGCTGCGGTTGTTTCACTCAACTCTGCGGCAGACTGAGTTCTCAACTATGACTGGTGTACACATTAGGATTGTAGCCTCCGATTTATAGCACTGTCCTTATTTATCGGTGTGATTGTTTACAGGGGGAAAGGTGACGTCGCCAAAACTGATTTCCTTCCTGCCTTGTCTGATGTAAACTTTACTGACTTCACTTTGTTTAAAGTGTAACTGTAATTAGGAACACTTCTGTCTCACCCCAACTCCTGTGTGACCTGTGACTAAAATAATGGTGATGTTGATCATCCTCAACACCCCTGGGCATTAACTGTTCACACACTGGTTAGTGAAACACACTTGAGTATAACGTCAAATAAAGGACTAACAAAGTCACACTGCTGTCGTTGGAGATTTATTTATGTTTTCCTCCTCACATTTTGAACCTACATCACTTTTATATTAAGAAGTTGTTTGTGCTATATTGGAGACGTGTGCTGCAAAAAAATACAAATAAAATCTAAATGTAAAGATAAACTACAGCTGAAAAGTCCATGATCAAAGAGAATTAACATAGAGGGCGGGGGCAGCAAGTGTTAAGTATTTGTTTCATCCATAAAGCAGCTGTGGCACTTTATAAATGCAATGATGGGCTGGATAATTGAATGAGACTAAATGGCATGAAAAGCCACCACTGTTGTCTATGGCAACACGGTGTGGCTCCTGCTGTGAGTCTGCGTGTCGGCTCAGTGTCTGTGGGTAAAGTGTTTGCATTGATTCAATTAATATTAACAGCTTTCTGAATGTCACCGTCTCCTACCCATCAGTCCACTCTCTGTACTGACAGCGTGAATGTCAGGTGTTCAGGTTCGAGTGCTACGATTGTACTCTTCCTACTTTAACTGTAGGAAACGCCTGAATGTTGAATTTGTACAAAACTAAACTTCGACTTATAGTAATAAACAAGGCCTAACCAACAGTACCAGGGCTTGACAGGTGTGTACTGGTCTTAATGACACACCACACTGTGCTAACTACCAGTGGAAAAGTGTCACAACACAAAACCTGTCACCACGTTTCCCTTCGATTGCTGCTGAAATCCCAACTCTTTTATCTCTGAAAGTGGGGGTCATTTATGTCGCTCATTAACCTGACAGCATATCAATAATTAACCGTGAACAATAAAGGCCCACGCCCTCTGTCTCATGTCTCAGCCTTCAGCCTCATTCACATTCATTTTATTCAAGCTGGAAAAACAACATTGAGTGGTCTTTCACAGCAGCGTCCCTAATGAAGTGGACACTTTACAGCTCACAGTCAGGAGCTGTTAATCTTTAGTGATCTTCCCATCACTTCTCCTTTTTCTGAACCTCTACAGCATCAATGACTGTTTACTTACGCTCACACTGACATGACACACACCAATATAGCCCGTAGTGGTCAGCGAATGCGTGGGAAATCAAACAATCAATCAAAAAACTCTGATTAATTTAGAGGTTTGAACAGATCATCACAGGAGATTCTAGAAAACAAATGCCCTGTTATAGGGCAAAAATGTTAACTTTCTCAGGTATCAACAACAGGAAGTAAGAAAACACAATTAAATGTCACAGAAATGACACTTGACAGAAAGAGGAAGTGCACGACGGCTGCCCGAAATACCACGGAGCACAGTTTATATCAGCTGATAATATTGTTTTACATCAAACATTTGTGTTTCTCCTCTGCCTATCCACGCCCCCCTCTCCCTCCTCCTCCCCCCGTCTGTCTGTTCTCCTCTACCTGGTGTGAGGGGAGGAGCCTGTGGTTATGGTTAATGATTCAACGCCACAGAATGACAGAAAGAGAAAGAGGAGGAAAGAAAATGAGGGTGAGAGAGTGAGAAATTAGCAGAGGGCGAGACATGGCGGAGTGAGCTCAGAGGCTGAGCTTCCAGTCGCTGCAGGTGAGCATCTGCTCAGGTGTGTGTCCACCGCGTCTGTCCCGGAGACAAACTCAACACTCTGCTTCTACTGAGGCTGGACCACGTCAGGAGTTCAGGGTCAGGGTTTCCTGGGGTCCTGCAGTCCATGCAGCCTTGTGGACCGAGCAGACACTTGTCCCCTCTCTGGACCACATAATGTCCCCAGGTGAGTGACGTCTGATGTCTCTAGAACAGATGTCTGGAGCTGCTCATTCTACAGGGCTCTGAAGGTTTTGCATGCGTTGCTCTCAGCAAACTCTGACTGGAGTCTGTACTGAACATCTTTTAAGATCTCAGCCGGAGCTGCACACACACAGCCATGAATTAGTCATGAAGCTTTTTTACAGTGTAATGTATGCTGGCTGTGGCTAAACATGAGGCTCTGTTGAACATCATGTTCCTGCTGGGGAGGCTGGGTAAAAAATAACTGCCATTAAGTTTCCATTTTTTTTACAAATGTTTTCCACCAGAAATGATGGTGTGTGTGTGTGTGTAAAAATACACACTGCAGGTGGTTGTCCAGGAAATCAATGTGCAGGGTTAAAGCCAGTGTGGTTTAAATGTTGACCAGCAGGGACCGGGGTTATCATCCCCCTCTGCCCTCTGTCCAGACCAGTTCCTAGAGAGTATAAATAAGTGCCTGGTCATTGTGTGGGTTGGTGACAGGTTAATAAAACACCTCTAGGCACCGTTTGACTTCCATGAATGCCCACGCCCACGACGGCCTTTATTTTGGGTCACTGTTATATTCCTTGTAAAATTTTAACGAGACTTCAGTGGTTTTATGTGCTGAACTTTATCATCAGCCTTCCCACCTGTGATCTCAGATTCCCACTTTTACATAGGAAATATAACGGATCAGTATATGTTAAATATACACTACAGTACATATTACTTGTACAAGTCCTGCATTAAAAAAAACAAAAAGAGAGAACGGTGAGTTCTTTGGTGTTTGGCCGTCACTCTTTGTTGTCAATCTCTCAGGGTATTTTATGATTCTGTGAGTCTAATCTCTGTTCAATGTTCAGGGCGAGGCTCTGGTACCTGGGGTCACATGCTGAGCTCAGTGATCCGTCTGCAAACAACCTGTCGAAACAGAGGCCTCTCTGGAGTGGATGTGTTTAATAAACTAGTCAACAAAGCAGTGGTGTACTGTGTGTATCCACTGTAATCAACAACCTGTTTAAACGCTGTAACAACTCTTCCATAAACAGCACAGTCGCCACTGGTCCACAAACCAGTACCAAACAAACACCAATATCGTGCCAATGTCAGTCACAGATTTTTAACAAAAATGATTCAGGCTGTGACAGTGTTCACAACACCTCCTGTGGACTGTCCATCATCAGTCTGCATTATTCAACACATTCCACTCAGAACACTTTAAATATATAATCGTGTTTGGATTCATGCTTTCTCTTAATCTTCCCACGTCTTTGTTTGCACATAGAGAGTATATGACGCACTGATTCTTCCTCTGTTTGATTTCTGTCCCTGTGCTGCAGCCATGGAAAAGCAAATAGAGGAATTGAAGAAGCAGCTGGAGAAACAATGTCAGCTCAACCAGGAGCTGCAGAAGCAGAACAAAGACCTGGGTGAGAACACAGAAGAGTAACATGACTGCACGTTCTGCTGTACAGAGAAACAACACCACGTGACCGTGGTCTGTCACTGACTGCTATCATCAGCCAAGTGGGTTTTAAATCAAAGACACAAAAACTCAACACAATAAAACACTAAAAAAGCAACAAACAACCAAAATAAGTTCCTACCTCAAGAACATCAACAACAACAAAAAAAAAGTTTGAAAGGTAACAACAAGTTCAGGTGTAAATGTCTAAGGTGTGGAGCACAGACTCTACTGCAGAGAAGGGCCGGCCTTTTATACTCTATGGACTGATGAGCATCAGGTGTGGAGCAGGTGAGATGGATGAGCCGTCAGCAAAGGAGAGAGAAGATGTATCATCACAAAATCCAACACAAACATATACACACATATATATACATAAATATATAAATAAATAAAATATATATATATACAATGGATTTTCTAAACATGAAGCTCCATCTGATTGCGTCACTGAGCTTTACAGTAGACTTACTGAGACTTACAGTGAGGCAAACACTTTTACTATGACTCACAAAATGTCCCTCTCTTCATTATTGTTCAACATCTCCCCCCAAAAATACTACATACTGTCGCTGTGCAAGAGGATTTTTGTGTTGCCTTTTGTTCTCTCTAAACTGGAGTTGTTCCTTATTTTCACACAGAAAAACGTCTCAAAGAGAAAGAACAACATTTACAGGAGCTACAGAGCCAATTCCCAGACATAGGTAACACACACACACACCAGCCCACCACACACACATTTTAATTTGGCTGAAACACTACATTTAAGTCGACATTAACGCTCTGTTTGTCTGGGTTCAGAGTTTCCATCTGACGACGGAAATGAGACCGAGGCTGAGGTCAGGAAGAGCCGAGCCGCTGTCATCGCCCCTGAACCTCTGCCTGAGACTCTTTCTGAGATTTCACGCAACACAGTCAGGAAAACTTTCAGGTCTGTCTGCCAACAGAGCTGCTAATAACGTTATAACGTCTAACATTGCTGTAATAACAATTGGTAAAACGCCAACTGCTAGCCTTCCTCTGACATCTTATCAAACAAGAAATAGCTATTAAGGCTAGTGTCATTTTCTCTTCTCTCCAGCGAGACGAGTCTGATCGTCAGAGCCATCCAGAAGAACGACTTTCTGAGCCGCCTGGACGACGAACAAACGGCCATGATGGTGGATCTGCTGGTGGTGTACAACTTCAAACCAGGAGAGGACGTCATCAAGGAGGGCTCTGAGGGCGACAGCATGTACATAGTGGCAGGTGAGGGAGGTTTCTGCGTCTGCTGAGACATGAGTCTGTTTATAACTGTGTGTAAAAGACGCTTGTCCCTGCAGCTGGAGAACTCCTCGTCACTCAGGGTGGCCGGGACCTCAGGGCTCTGACCACCGGTGACGTGTTTGGAGAGTTGGCCATTCTGTACAACTGTAAACGGACGGCAACGGTCAAGGGTTCGACCTTTTATTTCTTCACCAGAGATATTGATATAGTATTTTTACTGTGTGTAAATCATCATTGAATTTATTTGCAGTAACTTAATACTGTTCTAAAAGCACCTTCTCCACCGCAGCAAAGACAACGGTGCGTCTGTGGTGCATGGAGCGACAGACCTACAGGACCATCATCACCAACAAGTCCAAGAAGAGACGAGAGCAGCTCCTGGGCTTCCTGAAGACGTGAGTTCAGCTCCAGGTTTTTAACAGGTTTTAAAACCTGGAGCTGTGACGATTGGTACAGCCTTGTAGTAGTACTTTTATGATTATTATTGTGGTACTGCTGCAGGTCTCGTACTCTGAAGGACCTGAACGATGTCCAGCTGTCCAAGATCATTGACTCCATGGAGGAGGTGTGTCCAGCACTGCTGAATTATCCTCCAGGAGAACAGTGAAGAAGCCGACTTCAGTGTGGATTAAATGTCCATGTCGTCTTTTCTCAGTGAAGAAGCCGACTTCAGTGTGTGGACGTGGATTAAATGTCCATGTCGTCTTTTCCAGGTGAAATACCAGGACAAAGATGTCATAGTGCGAGAAGGAACTGAAGGGAACACGTTCTACATCATCCTCAAAGGAGAGGTAGTAGAGTGGACTTTATTACTGCATAATATCCTGGAATGTGTGTGTGTGTGTGTTTGCCCTGTAAAATTCATTGCCTTATGGGACAAAACTGTTTACACTTTGAAATGATCGTCCAGGTCTCCATCGAACGCGTATCACATTCTCACATACTGCTGAATTTTGGCCCCAAGAAAATCATGTTTAAATATAGAAGCAACCATTAATCTCTGGCGGCGTGTGTGTGTGTGTGTGTGTGTGTGTTTCTCCCTCAGGTCCTGGTGACTAAGAACATTAATGGGGTTCAGAAGCAGATTCGCAGGATGGGGAAAGGAGAACATTTCGGTGAACAGGCCCTCATACGGTAACCATGGCGACTCACACATACCCAGGGTTATTAGCTAAAGAAATGCTGTGAAACCTATCCCGCTCTGTGCACCCTCTGTGGCTGTGGTCTGGTGGAAAAGCTTTTAATCCGTTACTTAATGTGGACTTTGCTAACGGCCAGTTAAATTATTCTAGCTAATTAAGAAGTTTGGAATGTTCCCTGCTAATTAATGCATGAAGTCAATGGGAAAGTGAATTATTGGTCTATGTTTTTAAATCATTTTTCAGTGAGATTCTAAGAACCGCCACCTGCACAGCTGACGGCCCTGTGACCTGCTTCACCATTGACAAGGAGTGAGTCTGACGACAGTGTTGTTTCCTTCAGTGTCGTGATGTTAAAGCAGTGTTCCCCAACCTTTCTTGAACACATTTATATCATCAGGAAAAAAAACCCAGAGCACAGCACCAAACAAAAAACTCACAAAAAGTATATGTAAATAAAAACATACAGCTCTGATTTTTTTATTTTTTAGTTTAAATAGCCATCTGCTGCCACCTAATGATCTCTCACGGTGCCACGGCTCAGTGGTTGGGGATCAATGTGTTAAAGACTCTCAATGGAACTCATTTATTCCACTGGTGTGTTGGTTCCTTGTGTTGTGTTCACTGTATCTGATCCATTTTCAGGGTATTTGAGGAGACAATCCCTGTGGAACACTTGGAACTGTTTGATGAGTAAGTCCCACCAAACACATGACTCTCTGTAATCTCTGTTTTTTTTAACTGTTGGTTAACCGTTGGTTCCTACTCTCAGCTCCAAAGTGCTGCAGGAGGCACGGGTTCCAGCCAAGTCCAGGTTTGTGGAAGTGTTCGATGGTAAAAGTACCAGGTCACCGATTTAAAGTCACACACAGTCTGTTCTCCCTCAGTCCACTCTCCTCCACCCTGAGGTTCAAGGATCTGGTTCCTGTGCAGTACCAGGAGGGTCGCTATCAGGGGGATCCAGTCACACTTGGAGTGGGAGGTTTTGGTCGTGTGGAGCTCGTGAGTGTTTTGTCTCTGGTCCATTTCTGCTGCTTTAAATGCTAATAATCTTCTCATTAATTTGTACACTGTGGCTCTTAAACATATAAACATCACAGGTGGAAAATAACATGTGTTTCTGTAAGTCATAACGAATAAAGAAATGTTATCATACGGTTAAAAAACACGTAGTCCCCCTCTCTCCTGTAAGAAATGTTATCATACGGTTGAAAAACACGTAGTCCCCCTCTCTCCTGTAGGGGCGCTGTAACCTCAGTTTGAGCATATTTGATAGTTAAACCATAAAACTGAGGTTTTCAGCTACAGTGTTATCTTAAATGATTTCCACCTTGAAGTTCCTTCTGTGGGAGGCCATTATTTTTCAACAGAAGATTGCTCATTTAGGCCGAAAAAAAGGAAAGCAAATTTCCCTCATATTAGTCTCATTTATACACAGTTCTGTGACGTGTGTGCAGATGACAGGCCTTAGAAGAGGTCAAAGAACACGAGCTATTAAAGAAATGGAGGTTTCCTTTCACATTTCCATCACAAATCACTACTTTTCTCCGATGATTTTCCCATTACTACAACAATAGCTCAGTGGGGGTTATCGTCAGTTATTCTTCTCATAGATGACCACCGTGAATCATGGGAAATATTACGCGGTGAAACGAGTCAGCAAGAAGCACATTGTTGCCAAGAGACAGGAGGAGCACATGCTGTTTGAGAAGAAGATCCTAAAATCCACGCAGTGTGACTTCATCGTCAGGTACGTGTGACCACGGACCCTCACGCTGTACTGATGTGTCAGTGCTGCAGAGAAGCCCAGTCCAGTGAAGCCTGTTTGTCTGCTGTCTTCTGCCTCCGTAGACTCCATGCTGCGTTCAAAGACACACGGTACATCTACATGGTGATGGAGTTCTGCGGCGGGGGGGAAATCTGGACCAAACTGAAAGAAGTGTGAGGAAACAGCTGGAAACACTGACGTGGAAGGACATGAACATATAGTATATTTAGTAGGGATGATAATATTGGTCCGATATTAGCATAATTATGTAATATCTGTAAGAATTGTAATCGTTTTTTCCTCCGATAATGAAAATCCGATACCACAATGCCTGGGTTTGGCCAAATGGTGTGATTTTTATCCCTAAACATAGTTTTGGGGATAAACGTGTCACAGTTAAAGCCGATCTCTGTGATTTCAGTGGACGCTTCGATGAGCCCGTTGCTGTTTTCTGCACTTCCTGTGTGGTGGAGGCCTACGCCTACCTCCACAAGAAGAACATCATGTACAGAGACCTGAAGCCAGAGAACCTGATGCTGGACGTTCGAGGCTACGTTAAACTTGTAGGTCCATTATTTATTTATCCACCTTTGTTTAATTCAAAATCCTGAAGAGTACATTGAGGAAAAATATTAAAACATTTTCTATTTATTCATGGTATCTAATGCTCTTGCATTGACCTCTTATGTATTTTGTCCAGTGAAACCTAATTAACAGGTTTTTATGAGCCACAGTCTGTATGTCTGGAATACCATGTTCTGAACTGCACATATATGTTTGTTCCTGCTCAGGTGGACTTTGGATTTGCTAAGGAAATGGTCCGAGGAGACAAGACCTACTCATTTGTTGGAACACCTGAGTACATGGCGCCAGAGATTATCAAGAACCAGGGACACGACTTTGCAGTCGACTTCTGGTCCCTCGGCATCTTGATCTATGAGCTGCTGGTAGGAAGGTAAAGTTTGTACTAAGTCTAGTATAACCAGTAGTCTGGTTGGACTGTGAACCAGTATCGGTTCCTCCTTTAAAACGGGATTCATGACTCTTTACAACAAAAAGCCCAGGGTTATGCAATTCTTTATACCAACCACCAGATGGCAGCTGGACACTATGAATAACGTCTACATCAGTGAGCCACTGGTTCACTCTCTTGTTCATCAGTACATGCTTAAACAAAAAGAATGAATTTGTATGTGTTTCCACCCAAACATTTCTCTTTGTTCTTTCTCGCCAGTCCTCCATTTTCCAGTTCAGAGCCACAGAAGATTTATGCCAAAATCCTGGACGGAGTGATGAAGTACCCACCCTACATGAGTGAAGCAGCCAGGTCCGTCATCAGTAAGCTGTGCAGGTGAGTGAGTATATAGGAAGACCAGTTGGTGCTTCGTGACTAGAATCTCACACAGGTGAAGTGAACACGCTGCAGTCGACCACCGTACTGCCTGGAATAAAACCTCCAGAACAAATGGATTTGTCCGAGATCACAGCGACTCTGGCTGCATACAGTACTAGGATGAATTGTAGTACAATATTTATTCTATTTTGGTTTGTGACAGAAATCTGTCTCTTTGCAGACCTCGGCCGGGTCAGAGGTTAGGTAACACCAAAAATGGAATCAAAGACGTCCGGCATCACAGGTAATGATGACAACACGTTCAGCATTGTCTTCCTGTTCTGGCGGCTGATGTTTGACAACTCTTGACTTAACTAGTTTACTACGTGTGTCCATATTTGAACCATCTATTTGTCCAAACCTTCTCATCTCTCCTACTGTTTCTGCCTGATGATACATTCAGGTGGTTTGGCAACATGAACTGGCACAAACTCCGGATGTGTCAACTCGACCCTCCAACAGTCAAACTCATACGCAAGGTAAGCCACATGGAGCAACAGTGCGTGTCTAAGTTGAAGAAAAACAGAGCTAATGAAGTGCAGTAAGGTAACATGGCATACATTAAAAAATCAGAAACCCCCCACAGCACTCCACAGAACAGAAATGTCACAACAGGTGTACATAATTAAATATGAATGTATTATCTTGTCATAGCATAGCATAGCATTTTTTAAAGTTTTTGTCGTGCATATTTGTGCCTCCACCAGGGCCCCAGCTACATCAACTTTGATCGGTTCCCTCTGGACCAGACCAAGGCAGACGAGGAGTTCTCCGGCTGGGATCGTGATTTCTGATTGTGACCCCTGAGTTTGAAGGGAGCAAAGGTCACAGGAGGAGAATAAACTCCCCACTGAATTAAATAAGAACCACCATTAGAGTAGCTAGGGATGAGCTCATTGCTATGTGAGCAGCAACTCCGACCATCGAGAAAACAAAACAAAGATGTAAAAACCAATGTGATCATTTAGAAACTGAGGATTTTTCTCCAGATTTCATTCTGCAAATGCCGGGCAATCAGCCAAAAATGTTTGTACATTCTGTTTCCAGACTGTTGTTGGCGTCATCCATATGACACCCTTCACTGATTAGAATAAAACAGCCGTCCCAGAGCTGCGGGAGGATAAAGGGCTGAGTCATACGGAGACAAATGAGCTGAAAATGTGTTGTCGTATCTATATCGTAGTTTCTATATAGAGTTTATTTTTCTCTGTGGAATTTAGGGATAAACTGATCAGCGTTTATCAGTTCAGAGAAGGTGAAAACACAAAGAAGACATTTACTATTGTTGTTTTTGACAGAACTAATCTTCGTGTCTTTACTGAAACACTCCTCTACTCAGATTACAGTCGGTTGAACAAATGATGGGACACTATGAAGAAACATTGTGATGTTTTGATATTTAATAAATGAAACCATGTCGTTGTACGTTTGTTTGTTGCAAATGTTGAAGGTTTGATTTACTTTATAGTCAAGTTAAACTGCGCTGGTCTGTAACATTTAAAGGCCACGAATCTGCAAACTCAAGTTCATAAAAGGAAGTTCTCAAAACATTAAATAACTGTTTTGAATAATTTTGATCCCAATATGAATCAAAACAATCTTGATGAATCTTGAACAATCTTATGATTTCTCCATAATCAAAAAGCCCTAGACCTCCCTCTAGTCCTCTGTATATATATATATTTTTTTTTTTACAAAAGTCACATTATAGGATGTTACCTTCAATAATTGTGCTACTGTCGGGTGGGCAGATGGGATTTCTGAACGGGGGGCAGTTGGAAATTTTGTAAGGGGGGCAGATGGGATTTTTGAACGGGGGGCAGTTGGAAATTTTGTATAATTCACATTTGAATTTGTCACTTTCACGTGTTTTTGTTTTTGTTCTGTCCCGTGTCCAACTGCTACTTTTGTTTTCAATGTGCTTTGAAGTGGCTGTTGTAGTGAACCGGTCGTAGGAGAGGAAGACGGTGTGTTACCGTGTGAGGGGTCTACAGCTCTAACCCGGTGTGTGTGACACTGGCCAAGGCTGTAAAAGGGCACAGATGTCTGTCAAAACAGCAGGAAGTGCTGATCGTTTCCCTTCCTGTTCAATGTCTCTGATCCGACTGCTGAGACCGGTTTTCCACATCAGAAAAAAGGACAAACATTTTGCAGGAAAGCAATCATGTCTTCCACAGGGGCAGAGATACGACACCAGATGTTTCCTTCCTGCTGGAAAACACACACACACCACCACCTCAGTGAGGTAGTGCTGCGGATCCAGTGACATCAGTCACAGCGGGAGCCCAGAGGAAGTACACCAGGGAACGAAAACAATCTTCAGCAGACAAAAATAAACATCAGATTACATATTCATTATTGATCACTGTAGACCGGATCAAAACAAAGGGATATTAAAGGTAAATAAAGTTCAATTATGTTCATCCCACTTTGTCAGCTGTGGCACCTAATATATTAAAAAAAGAAAGTTTTTGTTTTATTTTCTTTCAGCCAGAAAATAAATCCAATCATGGTTTTAAAACTGCAGTCACTGTTGTTTCTTGTCTAAATTATTATAGAATCTCTGTGTCAAATATCTGAAACTATGAAGGCAGAATTCTTCAGACGGAGGTTGGGTTTGACCACCAGGGGAACCACAAAACCACTGTTTTCTCTGTAAACCTTAAAGGAAGTGTGAACACCTAACTAACCATTATTAGTCCATTATTGGCAGAACTCCTGCTTCTAGTGTGTTTATAATATTAAACCTTGGTTGTTCCAGATTCAATGTTTAAACAAAACTAAAGTTTGTTTCCATTTGAAAAAAAATCGACATACAAACATGCACAATTGTCGTCAATTTCTCAATAAATGTTACATTTTCTCCCAAGACTTCGTCCCAGTTTTTAATTTGGCCCACGGTGAATTAGAGTTTGACGTCTGTGGATTTGCTGTGATTTTTCTTTTCCACAACTGACGTCACAGACTGCTGGAAAGTTCCTGTTCATCATAACAGTGTTATGTAATCAAAACACGACGGTGGAAGCATCAGCACCATGATGTGTGGATTATTATGGGCTGCTCAGAGAGGAGAGCGCTCATCTGAACCCTCCAATCATCATCAACTAATGAAGCTCCAGGTCGAGAGTGTGGTGTTGATGTAACGTTTACAAAATTATAAATATTAATTTAAATGTTTTATATACATAACTGGAGTATTCAAATAGTGGTTCATGGGCCACAAGTGGCCCAGACCCAACCTCAGATTGGTCCAATTTGTGGTCATTTGGAAATCAGTGGAAAAATGAATCTAAATCCAATCAACACGCATTAGAGTGGAAAAGACTGTTCTAGATGTTAATGTTCTATGTCATGCTGTTCTAGAATGTTTTTAAAAAAAGTAGTGGACAACATGAACTCCAGACATATTCCTGGTTTAGCGTGTGTCGGACTAAAATTGAGAAACATCCAAACACGGAGCCGGCGGGAGCGACGTTTAACCGTATTTCGATTTGCTCCAAACCTGATGAGTGTTTGGGAGCGAATGAATAAAGTTGTAGATTTAACTGTGACATCATTCGCTCTGCTGAAGCTCATCTCCCTGTGTTTCACAACAAGGAGACAACTCTGTTACTTCTTCAATTTGAGCGAGTGATTTCCTCCGAGGTTTCCTCCTCTCTCTCTCTCGGGCATTTCACCTCTGTAACCGTTTGACCTCACACTGACTACTCACCGCGTGGCTTTGTCACGACATCAGACTGATGTCCATCTAAACAGTCCACCTTATTGGTTTTCACCCTGGAAGTGCACACGATGTCAGAGGTGAAAGTGAAGGGTGATCGATATCTACTTGGCGACCGACCGTTCACTCAGCGGGCCGCAGCACACAGTAATTGTCTCTGCTGAAGCTTAAACACGTTGGAGTTGTGCTCCCGCTCCGGTGCAGTTCGACTTCCTGTCTGTAATAACCTGACCAGAGTTATTACACATTGTCATCCTACAATCACTGTTCAATGACCAACAATCCTTAATGGTTCTTTTGGTTTTGCGTCACCGTGTGACTAAGAGACGCTCATCAGACACTCGACGCGCAACAAATCAGCGGCGTCGCTGATTGACCGTCCTTCACATCGTGGGCTCATCACAAAACCAAGAAGAAAACATCAGCTCCGCACTGAACCGCGGATTCACGTCCACCTCGCTGAGGCTTTAATTCCACGGACACAGACTGCAGGAACATTACATTCAGATTGAACTGTTTGTGAGTGGAGTCCACACACTGCCCCCACCCCCAAACCTCCTCCCCCCTCCTCCCCCGACTCCATCAGTTATTAAAGACTGCCCACAGGCCTAGGCTTTCTGCAGGGAAATCAAAGTCGCTGTGGTGCATGAATTGTCTGTGGATGGATTTCCTGATTCGGCTTCAGTGATTGGCTCCTTATGTGAATAACTGAACCTCAGATCTACCAAACAGCTGCTTCCTCTGAGCGCCTACTCGGCCTCATTACTGTGACAGGGTGTGAGAAGGTACAGCAAACACTCAGTTCAGGAAATCTGATGTCAATCTGATTATTCAGTGGGGAGGCTGGCTCTGTGTTCTGATCAGGACCAGACTGTCTTTCTTCTTCTTTAGTCACAGATCAGGTGCAGAATTTGTATTAAATAAAAGTCAAAACTGAAATTTGTATTAAAAGTCAAAACTGAAATCTTCCAGGAGTCAAACAGGAAAAAAACAAAATCAAACAGATTTTGAACTCAGCATAAACAGAATAAAAAACACAATCATGAGGCCAGTGACACACAAAGCACAACAACAACCAAACACAGAGTGAGTGGGAGAGAGGTAGTTATACCCTGGCCACCAGGTGAGACACCAGGTGAGACCAGTCAGACTGATGGTCACAGGTGAGGCTGATGGAGCTAATTAACCCAGAGAGAAACAGAAACAGGAGAACAGAGTGACACGATCTCTCCTCCTCTACCACAGCCTCCTCTGTTGTCACAGGTTTTCAAATTTGTGAGGCAACATTAAAGACAACATTAAGGTTGTACATATCCAAATATGAGCAGGCACTTGGTGCTATGGTACACAGAAAGGCAACGTCACTCTGACCAGACATGTAGTTATGAATGTAACTGCTAACCCTAATGGCTAAATGTACCAGGTTTAAGTAGGAAAAGACACACATTTATATATGATTGTTCATCACAGGGCAGCGGTGGGTAAACCAGGATTGTCATCACAATAAATCATTTTCTTACTCTGACAAAAAAAAAAAAAAATCCTCTTTCTCCTTATTTCTTATTTCCGTAACTTCATTTACAACTTTCTCTCCCTAAGTGCACCTCAGTGGTAGGAGCAGGAGGCAGTAAAGGTCAGGATATCATTCATACTCACAGCATGGGAGGATATCCTATCTGCAACAGCCTGGACACAACAGGAAAATGCTATTATATCCAGCAAAAGGTCAAAGTTTGAATGATTCCGGCAAGGATTAAAAGAATTGCTCTTTGTTGTCAAGGCTGGATCTTAGCAGCGATCCTGTCCGTCACTCTGTTGGGTTGGACGTCTGACTTAGAGAGGCCTGAGACGACTGGGTTAGCACTGCTGTGTGCACTTTACCGTGCTAACAAGGAGGTGTGAGTCTGGCAGGACAATTATTTTCCTGACACGACTGTTTTTCTGCATGAAAGAACCAGGATATGTCCCAAAACCGTCAGCGTGTTTGCATGGAAGCAGTTACACACCAGATGGTGATTAGTTTAACCCAGTGTTGCTGGGGAAATGGTGGCCAAGGCTTTGCCCAGTCCAACAATCCATTAACCAGCCTCAGTGAGCTGCTGCGGTGTCTCCATCCAGGCAACAGTGGATGAACTCTGTCCCCGTTCTACCGTCCACGCTGTCCACACTGCTGCACCGCTCACTGGGGAAATTATACACAAACATACAGTGGTATGGTACAATATCAATTACTCTATGATTTCCCAGTACTTCTCTGTGGTTTCACCTAATGAACTGTAACTATATATATATATAGATATAGATATATCAACAGCCTGGATATATGGCTAATATATCAAATTAAAATTTTAGATATAATTTTAATTTGATGTGTATTAGCCAGAACCACCAAGACTATTCTACCCATGTCCACCAACAGACCTGAGATTAAAATGGATTGAAATGAATACAACACAGAAAGCGAGTTAGGAATAGTTTAAAAACTGAATTTGACCGCGACCCAAGTCCTTGTAATTATTATAGAAGCAGGAACTTAAATTATTACAGGCCATGTGGAAAACTGCGGAACAAATTAGACGTCAATTTTCATTTATTCTGTCCTAAGATAACTAAGATCAGAAATCATCTGTTTTACATAAAACTGGGAAATTAGTAGAGAAAGACTCTGAGGCTGGGATTTGGCAGATAAAAAAAATCCAATGTCTTTTTAATTTAACTCGTGGGAATATTCTGTTGTGAAACTACAGAAGTCAACTGGAGCCAAGCAACGTCACCTCAGAACACTGTTGCCCTGTCACACAGTCACTTAACCCCAGTGCCATTTGTGCCAGGGGCTATTTATGAACAACAAGACATAAAACTGAGGACATACAGTAAACAACCACCGGACCATTGTCTCAAGGAGGAAAGAACACATTATTCTCAGGTGTGTGACACAGTGTTCTCCTCTGCATCAGGACCGAGGGCTGCAGTACGGGGCAGGGGGCAGTCTTAGAGAAGCGGCGAGCATAGCAGCCTAACGCTCATCAGCGCCACACTCTGGTCACATGGTTTCAGCAGAGAATTGACTGTTTTTCTCTGATGTCACCGCAGACAGAATCATGGCTGACGAACGCAGCAGTGTGCAGACGGGCAGACTCTCTGGTCGTCTGTCTGTCTGCAGGAAAAAAAATTGATCTCCCTCTTCAAACATTTAAGTTCATCGCTAATGACCTTTTAAATGGCTCTGAGCAACAGCAAATACAGACTCTGATGGTTCTGCTGCCACAGAGAAGGAAGAATAAAGATTTTTAATTATACTGACATCATCCTTTTTTAAAAAAAATGTAAATTTGGGATAAGAGAAAATAAAGATGGGTCCCACAGTGGGTGATGAGGCCTGGTTCAGTCTTAAACACTGTGAAAATCCTTCGACTTTAATCAAACTCTGCTCAGTGGATCTGTGTCTTAAACACTGTGAAAATCCTTTGACTTTAATCAAACTCTGCTCAGTGGATGTCTGTGGGCTCAATCTGAGGCTCGCTGACGTGACCTGACCCTGTGTCTGTTCACCAGCCTCTCTCAGTGAAATGCATTATGTGCTCGTGCGTCTCTCAGCCTGCTGACAGCGCAGCGCCTGTGAGGTGACGTGTGATGTCACTCCGTCTCCAGAGTCAAGACACGTCCTGTCAGTCTGAATTAGGTGGGATGGTCACACCTGCTGCAGTGTTTATCTCTGGGTATAGAACTAATAACCCAGCATTTGTACAGACCACTCTACAGTGTAGAGAGGAGTCAGAGGCGTCGCTGCAGACTCTCGTCCTCAGACCACACTGTTCCTGTGAGGAACACTTAGTGACGTGTGACTCAGATCACTTTGTCAGTGGTGATTTATTATATGCCTCCGTGTGCCATTGTTGTCCATGTGATTATAACACTGTGGTTTCATCTGTCTGTTGGCCACAGATGGTTTATCTGGACCAAAACACATTCAAATAAAAAAATAAAAAAAGTGGCCACAGCGCAATAATAATAAAACAACAAAATGATATCAATAATCACAGCATCGATATAATTATTGCTATGTTATTATAATAATAATAACTGATAATGATGATATTAAACCATTGAAGTTTAAACGATAGCAGTGAGAACTAGAATACTCCACGTGTACACGTAGCTCTGCTCACATGTACTTCAGTCAAATACAGTGCAGTACTGCGTGTTCTTTTGCACAGTAAAGGACTAAAACCTTTGTCTTTAGTTGTTGTGCATATAAAATTTTATTCTAAATTGTCTGAAAAGTCGGTGGTGACGTATTCACAGTGGAAACACCTGTGTGTGTCCTACACGAAGAGCCGGACGTCACAGACACATTCAGTCTGTGATCTCTGGAAGTTACACTTAAAAGCAGCATGCAACAAGTGGCTGAAATCATGTCGACGTATTTTCCGATGTCCAGATGTGAACAATACCCTTCACGTGAACAGCTTTTTGTTTTACACATGGCACAAAGAATCAAAGTTACAGTGGAGTTCTTTTATACAACAAATGCATATTTTTCTGTGGCTGTCTCTAAATAGAACCACGTGACAGACCTTCACCTCTCTGTACGACTGTTTTCATGTTGGCATGGTTTTCTTTTAAATAATTGAGAGGCGGTGAGTCGAGGAAGCCTCACTTTATCTGCCGGTTTGAGACCACGCGGCTAATTGAACTCCCCTGTGATACATTTTTAATGTACTTACATTCATAATGAAGCTAATCTCCTCCCTGGTGAATGGAACGATACATTCATAATGCCTGTAACTGGGATGTTGACATTAGTGGATGACTTAATTAAAAAATGTCACCTTGGGAAAAAGAGCAGGATGCATGTGAAGAAGAAAAAAAAAAAAGAAAGAAAGAAAACGTGTCCCCTTAAATTCCACAACACACACACATTCATACGCCTCCTTCTTCATGTCTTCCAGCATGTGGCGTATCACGTTACACTCCACTGGCAGGAACGACATGGTGAAAGTCGAGCGTCACGTGCAGGGAGTGATGATGATGGGAGTTTTTTTCGTACGTGGATAAAAATAGCGTGCAGTCTATTTTTAGTCCTGTGTTTTCCCCCCGTTTTCTTCCTCTCTGTTCCCTGCTGCCTCTCTGACTTGATTTCAACTGACAGCGATTGACTTTACAGAACAGGCAGAGCACGAGTCGGAGTCTGTGCCGAAGGTGATGGACCAGCTGTTCAGGCTTTCAGAGGACAAACTGTCAGACTGGATGGATAAATGATAAATAATATATATATATTGGCACCTGACAAAAAAAAACATGGCACCATCCTCGATGAAATAGTAACAGGTTTGAAGGATCAAAATCTTAGTCCTGGTAAATAAAGTCAATATAAAAAGTGTCTTTCAGTGGCAGATGGGAAATATTTCTCTCCTGTCAACACCTCTTATATGTCATACTAGGAACAGACTCAGCGTTAGAGAGTGGGTAAAATGATTTCTGAGTGAAAACCACTCCATGGTCAGAGGACAGAAACACAGACACCGATGTCTACTTGTTTGGTTTGTGGAGGTTCCAATGCATTATTACGATAATTCCTAGAATCCTCTGGAACCTTCCTTAATATTGAGTTTACATGTGCATTTATTGCAGCTGCATGCATTAAGAAATAACCAAAGTACTTTAAACGAGTTAATGCTGTAGGAAATGCACATTAATGAGACGTGATGAGAAGTTTCTAATGCGTCAGAGTTAGACTTGTTTTCTGTCTTCTGCTGGTGACTGTGGTCTCTCTTCCACGTCAAGAACCGTCACCTACACCTGACTGTGGTACAACCTGTGGTACGACACGATATCTTTGGAGAATTACACTACAAATGTGTCTAATGTTTAACTTCCTGTTTGTTGTTTGCTTTCGCTTTCCTTAAGAATATTTGTTTTGAAATTCTTGCCGATTATTTGACTCAATGACGTAGAAAGACGTACTGAATTTTATACCATGCATCCATTCATTACCCAGAATGAAAATAAAATGAGAAAAAATATAATTATTATGTCACTGCAGTAATGGAGATTTTTTTTTTTACATTCAACGATGTTAAAGAGTCGACTTTGGATCTGTAAAAAATGCCCTCCATTAAAGCCGGGACATAAATATTGTGCGTACTGATATGAAACAAAATATAAATAAATAAATGCAAAAATAAAAAAATGTAACAAATGTTTTCCAGTGTATTACAGCTGTTAGTGGCCCACACAGCTGGACCAGGGATGGCCCTGTTCTGGCCCAGAAAGATTCATCTGGTCTGTGTCTGACATCCAGAAAGACTCTCACACGTTCTTAGACTGATCTAACATCTGAGCTGAACGTAGACCAATGTTGCCTGTAGATCTGGTCCTCTGATGGAGCAGACCATAAGGCCGATACAGTTGATGTGTAATGTTAGCAGTTTTACCTCAGTAATAGAAACTGCATGACAAGGGGAAAAGACAAAGTGAGGCACGTGACTTCTACCAACACCAGGTTGATACTGTGACGTCCCAATGCAATGAACAGATATAGTGGTGCTACACAGGAAGCATATTCATGTTGCAGGGTGTTTGTAATGATATTTTGATGGTGATTCCAGGTGAGAAAGACAGTCTACTTTTTGATTTCTTTTTAACAACGTGATGAAAAATTCGAGTCTCGTTAGGAATCTGTGACTTTGGTAAAAACAGACAGATTTCCTTTAGGTTTTAATGAAATGTTCCTTGCATTTCAACGCTTTACGGACAAATGAAAGCAATGATAATGAGGACTCTGATGTTCAATGAATGTTTCTGGAACTGAAGCTAATAAAACTATTTCAGTTCATTGAGTCGGGATTAAAACAACGGAGATGGAACATTTTCGCTGTTCCTAATTTCACTGTGTTGATCATTTTCGTTATCACTGCTGTGCACGATCCGTCCGTTCACCCTCCTCCTCCTCCTCACATGTTCATCGTGGTATTCAGTAAGGCACAAGTGGGTAATTCCTTAGGGTGAAAAGCTCGATCTCTGTCCTGAAGCATGAACGTGAATGTCAACATTCAGGTCTTGACTGAGGGCAGAGTGTGTGGTGAATACAAGAAAGCCGACAACTCTGACCGCGGGGTGTAAAACGGAAAAAAAAATCCTTGAATAAAAAATAAAAGAACCAAGTCCTCAACATCTGATGCAGATTTAAGAGTCTCTGGAAACTGAGCAGGAGGAAAACAGCTACGTCTATTGCTATTCATGAACGTGTCATCAGTTCTGTCTTTTCTCTCAGGACTTTTTTATGGCTTCACGATGGATGGTGACCAGTGTGTGGCGCTACATCAACATGAGGTTTAATCAATGTCCCGCCCAGAAACTTTACAAAACCCCAGCCTTTGACAGTGACGTCCTGACGGGAACACGGTTTTATATTTGGCACAGCTGTTCCACGTGACGTCACACGTGGACTTAAAGACACTGGACTGGAGGACAGAACCTCTGAGGACACAGCTTCTTCAATTTTGTCTTCAAACATGCCTGTGAAGTACTTCCGGAGCCTTCCACTAAGAAAGGAAACCACAAAGAGAATCTCTTTCTGCTGTTGCAGCAGACTGGATCAGATTATTCTCATTTCAGGTTTTCGATGATGGGGATCTCCCTTCGATCGGCGTAGTCTGGGCTCAGCCCGTTCAGGTAGAGGCTGCCGTTTCTGCTCAGGGCTCCTGACACCGGGCTGAGGGACAGACTCAGGTTGGGGTAACTCTCTCTGTCCTCATACAGGTTGGCCGACAGCGTCCTCTTGCCGGGCGTCATCTCTTGGTTCATGGACGCGTTGATGCCCAGCTCTGATGACAGCTTGCGTTTCATGGACGCCGCGCGCTGGAACTTGTCGTAGATGTCAACGCTGAGGCGCCGCCGCGTCTCTTTGAACTCTGCCGACACGTTGGCCGTCCACTCGGCTGCATGAGCTCGGAACTCGCCGACCTGCAGCCAGAGAAGGAGTAGACATTAACGCCAGCCTGGTGATTTAATGTAGCCTGGGCAGCACATCTCTGAATAAAGGATACGGAGGACGATGCAGGGGAATCAAGACGTTTCTTTAGGAATAAAGTTCATCCAACGCAGACTGTGTTCTGACTGTAACCATGTAACATGTAACATGTGTGATGTAAGAATATTGAAGGCTGAATGTTGTTGTTGTTGTTGTCAGGTTCACTCTGGATTGCGCTGCTCAAACACACAACACATTCATTTAATTAGCGCTACTTTAAAGTGGTTTAATTCCAACAGACTTTATGAATTTAACACCCTCACAATTCCAGTGACCTTTAGAGCTCCTGACAGTTGTCAGACTTTCGAGGTAAAAAGGAACTAGTGCATGAGTCACTTCAACAGTATGTGTCTGCAATCAGACGTCACCACCAGTTTATAAACCATTATATTAAAATAAAAACTCTGCAAAGAAAAATGAATCACTGATAATTTAACAACTGTGGACAACGTTGACGACTCTCTGACAAATCATTAAAACAACAGGATAACATAGAAAAAAAAAGGAAAAAGGGGGATAAACACAAAGAAATGTCCAACTGAATGTTAGTGTCTGGTGAGAGCCTTAAATCTTCATGAATATTGCAGACTGACGTTCTATTTTTAGACTCATTTAGCAGCGTCAGGCAGTATAGGTCAATGGAAATGAACAATCTAAGTGAAACGTCTAAAAGCCAAAGTAATGGAGTCTTTTCAATGTAAATGTCATGTGCATTAATCTGTTTGGAGGACGGCCCACAGCCCTCGGCGTTCTCCCACACCTCTGCTTCTACTGCAATTAGCCGCCACTGTGAAAGAACGTCCGTTTATGATTCACATTAAATTTTTTCTGCAGGTCATTAAGGTCGCCCACCGACGGGGAGGTTTGAAAACAGTCAAACAGATGTGAATAGTTGACTTTGTGGATTGTTAATTTTTGTTTGTTTCCCATGGTTTCTGATCGATGGTGTGATGAGTGGAAACAACGGGGAGTTAAAAATGAATCTGTCACTCTGAGCAACGATGGCTTTTATCAGACATGTGACTTCACTGCAAATGTTGCTCCACCTACAACAGAAGAACTGAAGTGATGTCATCATTCAGGAGCAGATATTGTGTTACTGTCATGTTCAGACACCAGGGTAAAGACCATTACATTTGATGTGACATTCTTTTCTTTTCTCACTTTCATTTCCACTTATTCTCCCAGAACGCCGAGTTCAAGACTTTTTGAAAACAGGACTGGATTATAAATGTGGTTCAGGGTCCCCCGGGTGTCCTCCAGCCCCGGCTCTGCGTCTCACTCAGCTTTAAAAGATTGGATCATTTATAACTGTGTCTCTCTGGTTCAGAAAAGTCAAGAACCAAGACTTTAAGGCTGTGACGTTCTTTAATGCGTTTCCTCAGACATTTTTGTGGCTTAATACTGTAGTAGTAATGAACAGTGTTGATGAAGTCATGACGATGATTTTAGATTTTCTTAAACTTTTACTGTACTGTATGTAGTGGCTAACTTTTGTTCATCATTTAGCTATTGGTACTTAGACTTTATCTAAAGGTGATATTTTAATATATTTAAGCTTCAAGTAAAAAAGAGAAATCGTACTTCACATTTAAAAAAATAACAACTTTCTCTTCTCTCTGAAGATTGAAGAACATTTTTGTGGAAATAATTTTCACAAACTTAATGCTGCAGTTTGAATTAATCAGATGTTTTTAAAGCACTGGTTTAGGAATAAATACATGAGAAAATCCACTTGATCTGTATAAAAAACATGTATCACAGGAGGAGCAGTTCGCCTTTGGGTATTTTTCATTTTTTAATCCACTCCTCACTTTAAGAAAGTTTGGTCTCCGCTGTGTTAAATAAAAAAAACATAAACTACGTTTTCACTTTTTCACGAACAGTGGCAAATGTTTACTGATGCTGATGTACATAAACAGGCCTTTTCTTGTTATGTAGGTCAGTCATCTCTATTTCCTGCTCCTGTCTTGACAGAACGACAGGAAACAGTTCTTCTACACAGGAATGTCTTTGGGTTTGAAGAGGTTTTAGAAACTAAACCTCTGCTCATAAAATGTCAAACTAAAGGTAAGATCTGAACGTTCACGTCCTCCTCAACAACTCTAACACTGATGTGATATTTTCTCTGGTGTGACTTTTCCTCCTGTACGTCACTCCTCACTCACCTCCTCCTTGGTCTTCTTGGAGATGACTCTGAACCAGTCTCCGATCATACTGAGCACGGCTGCAAAGTACGCTAGACCCACCAGGATCCAGAACCACACCACAGGCTTGTAGTAGTCCAGGTTCACCAGACTCTCTGATCCACCTTCAGGACAAAAGAAGGAAACATTGCTACGTTCTCATAACCCTCATTACTTTTTAAATATAAATGAACTCCTCCAGAAATACATATCATCATTCTGCTGTTATCAGTTTGATCTCAGTACTGTTCAGAGGAGGTGCTTTTATAACCCATTAATAACCATCCATGGTCTATTGGTGGTAAGTGTCCTTTTAATTACAGCATTTTAAAACTACTAACTGTTAACATGAAAGTTGTTCAAATGTCTATTAAAGTCAAATCAGAATTTCCATGTGATTTTTAAACATATCAGTGAATTAGTGCTGTGTTAAACACAGTCCACGGTGAGGGCTGTGTCGTTGGTCTGGTCTGATCAGCTGCACGGTTTGATCAATGTACGTCTTTGATTATTTAACCGTCTGGACTGGCCATAAAGCTGAGAAATCAATAATAAAAGTATGAGTGTGTGATGATGTTAGCAGCTCTCAGCTCCTGTTCAGATGCTTTATAATTGGACGCTGCGGTCCCGGCAGCAAATGGGTTCCTGCACGAAATGACGTGATGATGTTAGCAGCTCTCAGCTTTATAATTGGACGCTGCGGTCCCTGCAGCAAATGGGTTCCTGCACGAAATGAATTCTGCTCACTTGGAGCGTAACAAGAGGGATGTTTGGTCCGTTCACTTCTCTGTCCTGTGGAGTAACTGAGTGTCAGACTCACGCGTGTGTTTTGTGAATGTAGGTGATGCAAATAGACTTGACTTCTCAATAACTCATTCATTAGTTTCTTCAAAAAAATATTTCATCACATCGCTGATTAACAGTGCAGTACATTGGATAGAAACAGCAGCTGTGCAAATGTTGTGTTTTTTTTCTAGTAACTCGCAAATTATGTTAAGCTTCTCTTCTGTAGTAATCCCTGTTTATTCTGCAAAAAAACAGAAAGGAGGAGACTCGAATAAATGAAGATCCAAGGATGTGACAAGAAAGTAGAGGTGGACACGAGGACATGTGATACACAGCAAATACACAGGGAGGTCAATAGGAAATGAGTAGGACTGTAGGGTAACACATCGGTGAGGAAACACGATGTGGAAGGACATTTAAAGGGAGGGAAGTGCTGAAAAATGACACATGGAGGTAGGACAGGACATAAATAGGAGACATTTAAAAGGAAAAGACACAGGAAAGACACAAAGAGGTATGGGGACACAGAAAAGTTGGAAAGGACATGAGAAGAACATAAGACGTATCGTGTGTCATTGACTTCCACCTTAAACCTTTTTAAACCAATCACAGACAATACTCATTGATCAACAAACTGTCAACATCTTCCTTAACTGTCAACATCTTCCTGACTCATCAAGAAAAAAATTCTATAAAATGGACAGATGAGACATAAACACACAACAGATTCATCTCTTTTACCTTTTTCCCCAGCAACAAAGTCGCCGAAGCCGATGGTAGTGAGAGTGATGACAACAAAGTAGATGGACTCCAGGGTGCTCCAGCCTTCGATGTGCTTGAAGATAACAGCAGGCAGGGCCACAAAGATGAGGCAGCCGAAGAGGATGAAAAGCAGCGTGGAGATGACTCGGATCTTCGTCTGACTGACTTTCCATTTCTGTGTGTGGACAATAAATAATTGATATGTATGTCAGGGTTAAGAAGCAGTGAGCTCTGAATGGAGACTGAAGGCAGACGCAGAGAGGCTGGAGGCAACAAAAATGATGAAAAGGTTTTTATACTAATTAAATAATCCCCTTGGTAAAAACCAAATGATCCATTAGCAGTTGTTAGCAGGAGCACTTTCTGGAACCACATGTATTGGTAGGGTACGTCCACAGAGTTCATTATAGAACAAACTGGAAAATGATAATGACAACCAAATATAATATTTTTCTTGGTTGACTGTCTTGGTTGCCAGACAATCAACTAAAATGAAGTAAAAAACCAAATTTATGTCAAGCATTATTATATGATAGTTATTTTGAAATCCAGTCATGGGTTCGGTGGGCCAGATTGGGCCCATGGACCGGAGGTTGATGTACACTGCTCTATAGTCGCCACACTCATTCACTTCCTTCCACATGTGCTGCAGGGATTGGTCACGTGACTGGACTGTAACATTGATTAATCAGATTTTTCAGCTACAATCGTTGCAAATAAAAAAGCTCAGTGATTAATCACTGCACCTTCAGCTTAACCTCTGAGAAATGTTCATCAGGGTCAGTATTGGACTTGCTGCTGTTTCCTTTGCTGCCTTTTTCCACTTGCGGTGATTGCTTTCAACTGCTTCCCCCTTGTTTCCTTTCCTCTCCCTGTTATGTAAGCACGGAGCACTGTGCCGGAGGGGAAGCATTAAAAGCGAAGGAAGGCTTCAGATCAGCAAGTCTGTCATGTCTGATGTCCTCACTGCACTCAGAAAAGTGAAGAGGACTCACAGCCAGTCAGCCCTACGACGCCACATCATCTGAAAATGTCAATATTCTGTGAAGGGACTGATGAGGAGGATTTAGTTTGTGCTGGCGCAAATCAATACTCATTGATCAACAAACTGTCAACATCTTCCTTAAGATGCCAAACAGCCAAAAAAAAAAAAAACAGAGCAATCTTCACTTCTCTTATAATCCGTCCTAGCTTCTTCTTTTTGTTCAGTGATCAATAAAAAATAAAGATTTTACGAATGTGAACCGAACGATGTGCTTCATTATATATTTCTATTTTAATAATCGGTAATTACAGATTTTGGTGCTTCATTCTTAAACTCTTCATTTAATGAATGAACAAATAAAAGTGTCTAAAATTGCCTCAAAATCCAAGCCATAATACGTAGCTAAAAAAACCACCCAAAAACTAAACTATAGACCATTAAGACTAGACTGTAAACCAAAATAGCTAGAAGATTACTAATAATTAAAATACAGTGAAGGCAACTGGAACATTCTGGAAACTGCAAAGTGACAGAATGGCCTCAAATGAGACAAAAACGGCACTGAGCCCAAAAAGCTAATAATAGCAAAGACAACTGGCAAAGTGTCAGTTAATCCTGTTTTATGCTGCTTGTATTTACAGGCTGATTTACTGTACGGACTGTATTGTTTGTGCAAATGATTGTTTACTTTTTTGTAAATGCAAGATGTTTATTTTCTTCAGCCTACGTCCATGCGTTCTATCAAAAATAACTACCAGAAGTTTTTGGATCATACACTAAATATAACTTTGTATTTCAAAAATTATTTGAAAAAAATATTTGAAATAAAGTCAAGATAAAAGATAATGAATTCAGTCTGGTAAATTACATCATTTTTCTTTTTGTGTTGGCGTGTCTGTCTATTTCACTGTTCGTACAGTCTGTGTAATTGCTTTGTTGTCTTCATAACAAGCCTAATCAGTAACTAACAGACTGTTCTGAAAAGTCACATTTAAATTCACCGTGAAGACTGGTGTCGTCCCAGTGTACATCAGAACTGAACAGAACGTTCTGGTGTCGAGGCCGATGTCACTGTGAGGCACAGGCTCTGGATAATAGGCTTCCATCATTATTCCTGAATTGGGCTGAATTGATCCCTGTGAGCATGTGTATTTGTTGTTGTTTTCTCTGGAGTCTTTGTACCAGTGAGGACCAGAGGCTGGTCTTAATGAGGCAGACCCATTTCTCCGTGTTGGTTTGGCTTCGATATCTACAACTGAACGGTGCATCATTGATGAGGACTGTGCAGAAATGTCTGTAAAAATGAAAACCATGGAAAACTGGTTTGGACTTTTATGGTGATGTTTGTATTTGTCTCTTTTTTCACTTTTTCTCCGTCAAACTGATGTGGTATAAACAACAGAAATTCATCTTTTTTTTCCAAATGCATTCCCAGCAGAAAGTTGGCCTTGATTTATTTTTTAGGCTTTGGTTTGAATAAACGTTAAGGCAGAGAGTAAAAACTGTGTTTGAGTTTGTGATGTTAGTGACGATCACCTTCATAAATACATTTTTAATTTTAGTTAGTTTCCCTAATTAACCACTAATGTGAGCACAGTGACAGACTGTATGAATAACACAGAACACTGCTGTCCTGGAGTCTGTTGACATGACAACCTGAAGAAGAGAAAAAAACCATTCCAAGTGTTGACTGAAAATACATCTATTTACTCTGACATCTCCACAGTGGGACTGTGCTCACAGTCCAGCTGTGACCTTTACCCCTGAGTATTGCAGTGTTTTACAGGGACCATGTCCAGGAACATCATTTCACAGCTGCCTTCTTTTCCACCTGAATGATCACCTTGTGAAACAGTCTCACTGCACACACCTGGTGGTTCACTAATGAAAAAAAAAAAAGAGCATCTCACCACGATCATCTTCTCCACTTTGGCGATGCCCTTTCCAAAAATGGTGCCCAGCTGGTCTCCCACCCCAGCCAATAAGAATCCAAACAGAGGAATCCCCAGCAGCGCGTAGATGATGCAGAAGATTCGTCCTCCTTCGGTGTGAGGGGAGATGTTCCCGAACCCTGACGACAGAGCACAGAGAAAAAAATAATGTCAAAAACCGTCCTCTTATTTATTAATATTATGAATCAATCATTTAATTAACATGTTTTCGGTCTTTATCACCATTGGCTAATCTCAACAACCGCACAGTGTCCCTGTGGCGTCGTGGTCATTTTCATTTTACAGTAAAACTGCAGGAATGTCACTGCAGTTTTATGATCCCTTCACTTTTAGTTCAGTGAGGATTGTGCTTTCATATCAGTTCAAACCTGATGTGGAGATAAAAGGTGACTGAACCTCGATTATTAAAGCGACTAAAGAGAGAGAGAATCCACAGACGTGACATTAACAAAAGTCTGACACAGGAACACACTTCTGTTCTAAGAATGGAAATGAAAGAAGGGAAACATTAAAACAGTCAGACGACACAGGCGTCTCCCACTGTGCTTTTTCTTCTCCTAAAAATAAATGGGAATTCAGGATTTGCATTTACTGTTAGAAATAAAACTGTTCTTGTTCCTGTTGAAGCAAAAGCAACAGAGCATAAGATTAAAAAAAGAAGAACTGAAGGTTTTTTCTAAAATGACTATGGTGGCTTCAGACTTGTGTGTGTGTGTGTGTGAGAGCCCTGAAGGAAAACACACACCAACATGATTCCTCTGCTGCTGCTCTGCTGCCTTTTATCTTCTCTCTGAACCATTCATCATATACTGTTGTCAGAGCAGATGGTCGCTGGACTCCATATCCTGGTAAACAGGACCTGTATGGTCTGATACGGACTCTTCAACACCACTGTCTATATTCAGCTGATTATTTAACGTTTCACAAGAGGCAGAAAAGATGGAGCTCACTACACCTAATTATCAGTCTCAGGAGGCGAGCTCCCAGACGTCCTCCTAAGAAGAAGAATCCTGTGAGAAGAATCCTTCATTACGCCTTAAAAATCTCACAGCCCAATGGAATATTTCATCGCCCCCTGCTGCCTGTGCAGTACCGTGCAACACCTGACGCATCATCTAAACATTTGACAGATGGTTTCTTGGCCCACGTGTGTGAAATGATCGACATGAACAAAAGAGAATCAGAGGAACATCAGAGGTTGAGCAGTTAGGAAATAAGAGAAGCAGGAAGGAAACGGTTCAGACTTTCACCGAGGGAAGGACACATAGAGGGAGCTGGGAGAACACAGAAACTCTGTGAAATTCCTACATTCCTATTAACAATGACAGATATCCTTGAACTCTGAACGCATCACAGCATCAAATTATATATGTGTGTGTGTGTATACATACGTATATATATATGAAATGGCGGTAGAGCAGAGATTTGCAACAGGGCCCAGAAGCTCACTTCACAACAACACAACAATTTGTCAGGGTTCGAGAACAGCAGAGTATGTGTGTGTGTGTGTGTGTGTGTGGGTGTGTGTGTGCTGTTTGATTAGTCAGTCCTTACAGCTGGAGGTGGCAGGAAGAACGATGGTGTAAAAAGGACGTGTGTGAGCTCCTCATACTGTGTTAATGTGCTACAGGCAGAGAGAGAGAGAGTGAGAGAGAGAGAGGCAGAGAGGGAGAGTGAGAGAGATGAAGGCTCATTGATTATGTAGCCACTGGGAGAGAACGAGCACATGCTCCTGAAATGATTATTGTTCTCTTTGTGTCACACTGCTTCAATTTCTCCCACACAAAGTTGAAGCTGTACTACGTGAATTATGGTGATTTTTATTTTTGATCATTTTAGTTTTTTAGTTAATTATTTGTTCAAATGTTGGGTGAATTACAAGAGCCAACATTGTCAGGTGAATGTGGAACGAAGAAGAGTTGAGATCTGAGCTGGTGGACGTCCAGGAACTGCTGTGTCCTTACCAATTGTAGTGATAACAGTTCCAGAGAAGAAGAAAGAGGAGCTGAGGTCCCACAGGCTCGTCTGATTGGACAGATTTCCTGACGGGTTCACACCTGCTCGAACCGCTGAGACCACTTGCTGAAAAGTGAGAAAAGAAAAAATCAGCGCGTAGGGAAGGAGGAAGTCCACGAGCTCAGCAGCACGCATCAATTTCCTGGGGAAATTATGCCAAACCCAAGATAAACATCATAACAAAACCAATTTAAATGCTAGAAGAAGAACAAAAAATAGAATACAACAAAAAATAAACCGGAACTCGGCACACAGCAACATCATTGGAGTAAAACCATCAGAGATATTTGCAGCCAGGAGTAATTTGAGTGTGACAGATCTCCGGAGACAGATTTTTAATGATTGTATCAATAGTGTTAATCCGTTAGCCATAATTAAACCAGAGATCAAATGAAAAAGTCAGGACAAGAATTTCGTTCTCCGTTCCACACTTGTATTGAAACATTTTGTCACGGGTGTAAATGTTCCAGCGTCACAGCAGAAATGATTGACATGAGTCAAGCTGGATGACTTTTTTGTTTCTACTAGCAGTTCTGTAACAGTACGTCCACTTGCCTCAGCTTTGCAGCCTTGCCATGAGACAAGCCCTTTACACACCAACTGACGGCTCGGGAGGCAGAACAGCAACATGTTTTCCCACTCAGGGCAACTCTCACATGACAGGATGCAAAAGAGGAGAGAGGCCAACAGCTGGAGGAAACACACTGAGCTGCACAGCTTCTTCCACTCCCTCAGTCACCTACGCTAAGGCATAAGAAGCTGTGAAGTCCAGTGGGAGACTCACAGGGACAGGGGACGAAGTGTGTTTGAACCAAAGAATTTGTCATGTTGTTTATGTGGAGAAACTACTCCTGAACCTGTGAGATTTGGCAACTTCCAGTAGGTATGATGGGATATTTGAGCTGCCTGTGTTTAGGACCAAAAAAACATTATATTTACAAATGCAAAGTATCTTTCTCCTCTTATTCTCCACAAAAAACATCACAGCTGTTTCATATTTTTCACATCTTCCTGCAACTGCTGGTAATATGAGAAGGCACAAAAAAAGTTTCTTGGCCTAATGTAACTGTAGGATACTGGAGGCGTCGACACCTGAAATTGGTCCTTTTGGTACCGACAATCAGAATCAGGACTGGATCTGTTGGCAAATTTGACGTTGTCTAGGAGCCACACAGATGTTCCAGCAGCCTGATCCAGGTCAGGCAGCAGATTTTCTCATTAGGAGCATGCCCAGATGTTAAGAGTCTGCACGAGCACAGAAGGTTCTGTCATGCTCCGTGATCACAGACTGAAAAGACCAGATGAAATTAAGCCACAAGAGATTTGGTTTTTCTTTTTTTTTTTTGTGCAGTTTTTAAAAAGAGGACCACACTGTAGTAGCCCAACGATTTCCTGGCACATAGAGAGTTCCGGGTTCAATTCACTCAGGTTGGGTCGCTACCAGTCAAATCACTGTACAGATCCACAGTCTGAGTCCCTGATAAAGGGACATACCAAAATTAATTTTTGATTAAATAATAAACCACCTGTACAGTGATGGATCCTAATATTTTCAAAAGTAATTTTACGGTAGATTCCTTCCACTTTTCCTGACCTGTTGTGTTCACCACAGCATTTGAGTCCAGTGGTCCTGGTATTATCTAACATGAGTCAGCTGGAAACATTGAGTCTTCAGCCCCAGTGTGATGCAGGGAACGCTGCCTCGGAGTTTCCACAGACGAACCTTCCACTGCGTCTGAAACCTGCTCACGTTCTACTGTCGTGAGCTCTTGAGATCAGCAGATGGTGGAGTTCTGTGAACGCGGTGCAGGGGTGAGTGAGTACACAGCAGAAATGGTTTAGTCGTGTGGACTCTGAAGTAATGACTTTCAATATCCTGCAGATATTTGTGTATTTGCAGCCCTAAAGAGCCAGAACATTGACCGAGGGCTCTAATTCTGAGTGGGGTGAAATGTGAAGGTGGATGAAGGTCTTGTTGATCTTCTGCTGTTTGGTATCTATAATGAATAAACCTTAGCCATTATGGAACACTACACAAATGTCCTGGTCTGTGTGTGAAAACCTTTAGCCATGGGTCTATACCAGAAAATAAACCAGATTGTTTTGGTTTTTTGACAATGGAAACATGTTTTAAAGGTAATTACAGATTTCTTTTCTAACCCTAACCCTTGGGTGACTCACCATCATATGACTGTAAATGGAGTTAATCCTATCAATTCATTTTAACTGTGAGGTAGTTAGAAAGGTTGAAAGAGAATAAAGAAAAATACACTATTTTTCTTTATTCTCTTTATTCTCTAAAAGATGTCGATTTGTCCCTGAAAACAAGGACAAAATGCTTTGTTTTGGGAGAAAAGATGTCGATTTGTCCCTGAAAACAAAGTCACCGTGTCATAATTACAGAGCGACAGTTAAAAGTTAGTGAATGGAAAGTATTGACAAAAAAAATGAAATATGCCAAAAACAATCACCTGAAGCAGCAGAACAAATGTGTTCACAGCACCAACAATAGCCATCGATAGCTGTGTTGTGTCAGCTGTGTGTTTGAGTCAATTTTAACAATGGAGGAGAAGCTTCAAAAGACAGAAACCCTCCATCAACCACTTCTCTGCTCAAAACAATCATTTGGTTTAACACAGTCATACAGTGGCTTTGTTTCACAGCCAACGCTGTGGTATTAATGCGTTGTTTTGTGCAAACTCATTATGGCCAGTGGAAAAAAAAAAAAGGCATGATAATGTGAAGACAGCACTGACTGTGTCCAAATGGATGAGGCCGATTTAATTTTTCTTTGAAATGTAGTAACTGGCAAACATCACAAACAAATAATAGGCACAGTATTCACTGTGTTTGGATCCATCACAGAGACAAAGTGCTTTTCACCTCTGTCAGTGTTTGCTGTTCCACTGACCATAGAAGTCACTGTATAAATCACCTTAGAAAACCGCAGCCGCAGGTCTCCTCTCTCAGGAACAACACTAATGCTACAACATCTCGTGGCGACCTTCCAAATGTTCTTTAAAAATGTTATCTGGGTCCAAAGTAGTGGACAGACATAACCTTCCCTGGAGTCTCACTGGCTGCCATTGTTTGCTGCCACCAATCTACAGTAATTACTCTCTTTAGAGGCCGTTGTTATAACCACCAGACAAAACAACAGTAAAAATATAGAACTGAACTTACAATAGAAATCAGTCTAGACTGGTACAAACAGCATCAGTGATTGATTAATGTGTTGTGTTCTGCTGGTAAACCATGTTGAAAAGAAGTTGAAATAAATACATGAACAATGAGTTCTATTGTCCAGGTTTTCACACTCGTTGTGTTGTTGACAGTCAGGTACCGATCGCTGGAGAAGAGATCATCGCCATCTTTGAACAAGTCAAGTGCCCTCGGCTATAAGGCTCTAGAATTTTTAAAAAATCTACCTGACATTAATGATGTCCTCGACTTGCAAATGTACCAAGTCACAGCTGTTCAGAAATTCCACAGAATACACAATGTTGCTGCCTCATTCACATTCGAACCTGAATGGAAAAACACAACTTGTTCAATATTTAGAGCTCGACCTTCCCAAAAATAATAATCCACCTTTATCCTCAGGCAACCCCACGAAACCTGGAAAACTACTAAATTAGAAATGGATCGCACAAATGTATTATTCTATGAATGTTTATTACTGGCAAGATTTGATATTCAATCTGAGAAAAACATAATATATATATATATATGGTGTTTATATGTTTTCCCTCTGTGTGATTGGGACTTTCAAAAAATTCAAACAAATAGGTCTTAATCCATGATAATCTGCTCGTCAATACGACAGCCATGAAGAGCTTCTTGAAAAAAAAGGCAAAAGGGATGAAAACATGAGGCCTCCACCTCTGGAACTGAACAGAAAGTTGTACACACAGTCCCTGCTAAAGCAGGTGTATTGGTGATGAATCAAACCGTCTGTGCATAATATCTGGTGTCTGAAAGCACGGCCTGTATGATTTTATTGTTTCCTTGATAGCCACTCCTTGAGAATATTGTCCAACATTAAACCCATTATGTTGCTTCCAATGACCCAAGGTAAATAATTGTCTCATCTCATGATTTAATAACATATGAATATGTGAGTGGAAATCAAATCTTTAAATAATTTGGTTGAATTTACAGGCACACTTCAGTGGCTGTTCAGTGTTTTCACACACAGCTCTTTGCAATTGCAGTGATACATAACGATATATGGGTTCATTGAAAGACAATGTCTGGTTTATACGATCTAATTTTCTTTATTACATCTTCTGACCAGTGAACACGGAGAAGGTTCAGCACATTAAGGGAACTAATGTGCCGAAAAAACTTCCTTCAGGCCAAAATGAGCTAAAATAAACCACAGGGATTTAAAGAGCATTTAGCTGTGAGCAGAATAAAGAGGGAATATTATCATCAGCATAGACCTACAGGCAATGAGAAATGTTGTTTATAATTGTAATGTGTGATATTATTCATATTTCTTGTTTGACCTGACCCTTTTTTGTAGATTAAATTAAAGCTAATTAGTTAATATCATAATCTCCAGATTGGTGAACCTGCCTTTGTTCCATTTGTTCATTTGGTTCATTTTGCTCATATGTACAGTGTGAATGTTTGGACTGTTGTTGGAACATAAAAGTGAAACAGTTGAAAGAAAACAGTTGCAACACATAGTGTAATCAGGTTAGTCTGTGGTTTGATAAACACTGACATTTTCTGTGCAAAGCTCTGTTCTGCAGCAGGAGAAATGAAACCAAGAATAGAAAAACAACCTCCAGAGTTCATAAATTAAATATGTGGTAACAAACAGCAGTTCTCTATTGACTGGTCCTGAAATCAATTCCATTATTTTATCTTTATCTTTTCATTCCAAATCTCAAAAGCATGAAATACAGTATTTCCTAATACATCTCTGTTAACTGTAAATATATCTGCACAAAATGTTCTGATCTCCCATGGTTGATAGTGAATACCAGAGGTCATTATTCCATCCTTTGGGATAGAGAATATTATATTTCTTAAACTACTGATCCTTACCTTCATCAGATCTTCCAGTTCAGAGGAGTTGACACAGGAATGTGTGGTCAAAAAGTCAATCTTTTTCTCAAGGATGGCGATTTTCTGTAAGTTCTCGTAAGGCTGCTCCAGAGCTTTGAACACCGTGGCTCCAATGATCAGGTAAAGCACCACCAAGAAGAAGATGGCTGAGACGGTTTTCCACCTCATGACTGTAGTCCGAGTGTCACACTCATCCTCCGGAGCGTTCAGAACCACGGGTTTGGTGGAGAATGAGAGGCGAGGCTTGGAGTTGCTGGTGGCAGACTTTGGGTCAAGAAGGTCAGGTGCAGCCACTGTTTGAGGACGAGATTGGTGTCAACGGTTGGTCAGGTTTTTCTCCATCCGTCAATTGATCCATACATTCATTCATTTATTTTCTCATAAATCAATTCATCTACCCACCCACCAATCAACTCACTAATTTATTCCCTCCAGCATCCACCCACCCACCCATTCATCCACTTAACATTCATCCATCCATTTATCCATCTGTTCATCCTTCCATCCTGAGGGAGAGAGAACCTTACACAGTAGGTGGCTACAGGGACAGGATCAGATCACAGAGGAAATGATGGACTTTGTTTTGATTATTCTCAGAGTTAAACTTTGTTGCAGGTGATGGTTTTCTGTCTCAGTGCTGCTGGAGTTCAGCCTCACAGCTCAGTGATGCACAGCTCTGCCCTGCTACGATAAACCACTCCTGCAGATGGAACTGTCACAAGTTGCTCTTTTTTATATCCTGATGGTCAATCCTAGTTTAATGGAGTAGATTTTTGAATTACAGAATTTTAACAGCAATATTTTGCCACAGCAGTCAACTGAGGGGCCAGGGATTTTAAACCTCATGAAAGATTTTATGACTGAATGCATTTCATGAATTTCAAAACAGTCTAATGTGAAGATGTGAGTCGACTACGATCTACGTTATCATTTTAAACCACAATAAAACACTAATGCTGCAACAACCAGTGATTTTACTGTCAATTATATTAAATATGTCAGAATTGAATTGAATTAAATCATTAAGGGCTGGTTTTGTTCTGTTTTAACAAAAGGTACTCAAAGCTTTTATGGATTATAAATGACAGTTTATATGACATTAATCCAGAGACTGCTGGTCGTTTAAACAACTTCATTGTAATGTCATGTACGTGTATTCTTCTCTCATTAATACTTAATAATCCTGGTGAAACAGCGCCACACCACGACACTTGACTTCACGTCATTCATTCAGTTAAAAAACACTTTATCAGGAGATAATTTCCTGTTAACACTTAATTAACACTTGATGTCTCATTAGGTCATAATTAAGACCGTCTTCACCACAGAGCCCCTATGGTCGTGTTTCTTTTCCACCGTATGTATTTACACAACAATGTGCAATAAAAACCCCAGCATTTCAGTGCGTCTCGTGTACGTCCACACCGACAGAACTGTGGGTGATTCTCTCCCCCCATAAATACACTGAAGTCGAGCTCATTAAAAATGAATGCAATCATTACACTTTCCACAGTAGCTGTAATTATATAACTGTCACCTGAGGTCTATATATTATTGTTTACGTCGTGTTATACAGATATAAAATGTCTCGTGCATTTACTGTAGTTATGCTGTACTTATATTTTATTTTTTACGTCGTATTATACAGATATAAAATGTCTCGTGCATTTAGTGCATGCAGAACTGTGCAGAAAAAAAGTAAATTGGTGCAGAAAAATGATCTACTCCAATCCTTGCTAATTTAATTGTCGCAAAATTATTTAGCGTTTAGTCCATAAGCAGAAAATACTTCTTTTTTTTTAATCATTATCACCAGTGTGCACAGCGGCCAATTTCTACTGAGTCTGTACTCACTTCTCTACCATCTCTTCCCTCGGTGTTTCCTCATTAAAGGATCTTTTCTTCCCCTGAGAAACCGCAGAAATGTTGAGCTGTTTTACTCCTTATTGAAGTCCGTGTTTCCCTCCGATGTATCCACCAGTAGAAACACCAGGTCTTCACATGGTTTCTGGGCTTTCCTCCACTTTAAAACCTGCGGAGAAAATACATCCAGCACATCTTGTTCCAAACCTCAGTCCGGGGGCTAAACCGAAGCTCCGGTGGAACCAGCGTCACGGAGCCGCTCCACCGAATCCAGGCAGGTGTTTGGAGACATGGCTGCAGCTCAGCGCTGGAGAACGCACGGAGTGTGGTCTGTGATGTGGCGGTGCTGCGAGGAGCTGGAGGATGTGCTGTGAGCGGCTGTGTCTGCGCGCCCCCTGTCCTAAAGAGAGGGGAGGGTAAGAAGGGGGAGAGAGGGTGAGAACGAGTGGGATGGAGGGAGGAGGAGGAGGCTGTGGGATGTGCTCTCTCCATTAGTTCACACATATTTCACAGGTGAACCAAAAACACCTCTGGAGTTGGTGAAGCCAACTGTGGTGACACCAGTCAGATTTGATCAGAGAGAATGACCTGCAGACCACCTGCTCTTTTAGTCATTACGCTGGACAGTAAGTTGTTGTTGCACGAATGTTGGACGAATGACAATATTACAGCAATCAATGGAAAGTAATGTGTTTTCAACCTCAGGCTGTTTGACTGTAAGTCTGTGTTAATACAAGGCTAAGTTTCACTTGAACATAAACCTTACAGAGTTGTTTCTTTTTTCTCTCATCAGTTTCCACTGCGTGTTCTTCAAACTAGAATTGTCCCACAGGACCGTGGTCGAGAACATACGACCTTGTGACAAAACCCAGACGATCATTGTGCTTGTCTAACTGTTTGTCTCAAGGCTACGATTAAACCTGTGTCTGTTGTTTACACCAGTGTTGTCCCATCATCCTGGAGGCCTAGAGCCCCGCCCACCGCTTCTAAAAACAGAATCTTCTGTTTCTTTTTTTGTAGCAAGTGTGAAAGTTGCCTGAATTCAATGTTGACTTGTTTGTGTCCATCTCGAAGCCTCAAGGGCGTTTGTGCGGCCGAGAGAGAAAACATGCTTTGTCCTTGTTGGTGCAATGACTTGTTAACTGGTGACATCCCAGTCACAGGCACAGCTCACGTCCAGGCAACAGATAATCAGAGAGTGGGAGCAGACGTCAGGTCTCAGCAGCTACATGCCCTGAAGGGCAGCTGTCAGTGCTTTAATTAAATCCATCTGAATTAGTGAGTCACTCTGGGGACCATGTGTGTGCTTTACATCACACACACACACTAGCATTCTCAATCAATTTGTTAATCTACACACACTTGATGCTAAAATGGCCATTGATTATAATTCAGAATTTACTACAAGCTCATTTTCTTAAAAAAAATAAAAATAAGGAGAAGAGAGAGAATCCTTTCGTCGCCTTCAGTGCTGGAAAATCTATTGCTGTTTGAAATGCTGAAGTGTAACATTTGGGGGTGGTGTTACCTGCTGTGTAACAATGATAAATTATTTCTGTGGTCAGTGCCAAGACTTTGATTTTCTTGTTTTGAAATTCTCTTTCTTCTTTTTATAGACACATCTGGTGAACACGACTGCACTGAAAATATCAAAGATCAAAACATAGAAATTGAAATAAGACTAATATCAGTTTGAATACAAAAAGAACACACAGTTTAGTCCTCATTCAGTCAGTCTACGTATCATCACACTGAACCAAATAATTTAAAACTTAGTATCAGATGAAATACGTTTATCATAACATTAGTGATTCATTGGTACAGTATACAAGTTACAGGGTTTGCTGCCGTACCTGAGGCTCACTACACAGCCACGTCCAGTATGATAATAATATCTACTGTGCAGCATAGTACAGAAACAAGTACTACTAGTATACTTCTCTTACTTACTGTATTATTTTATACTACTTTTATCTACTGTTCATACATACAGTCGTCCCTCACTGTACGGTGGTTCGACTGTCGCACACTCATCGTGGGTTTTTAATATTTCAAATGTATTCTTGTATTCCAGATTTTTCCCTCTGGGATTTTTGTGTTATACAAAAATTTTTAAATTTTCCACAATTTTCATTATTTAGTGATAAAATAAGCATTTCCTAGTCTAGGACCACTGTACATATATTCAGTGTACTATATCTTGTATCATTATTCTGTGTAAAACAAATATGCTTGTAGTAAAACACAGCTGTTAAGTTTTATTACAACACAAACACATACATTATATAAACTGTTGCGTTGCATTTTTATGGAGTTTTTTTTTTTCAAGTCTGCACCAAATCAGTTTTGAAGAGAGACTTTAAAACAATAAATGTCCATCTTGTGATCTTTGTTTTCGTCTTGTTCTCATGTCCTGCAGTAGTTTTTCTTTCCTAATCCCTGGTGGATTTCGCAGTGAATCAACACAATATTGCTTCTCATCAAAGTCTCAGTGGAAAAAATTAATTTAAAAGTCTCCATTCCCTTGACTGAAACAGTTATGGCCGTACTATACACGCGGTACATAATGACACAGAGCTCTTATCTATAAATTGCCTGCAGGCTGAGATGTGTTTTCCACTCTGTGTCCCCGTAAGTCAAACACAGTCGGGGGGGAATCTAATTTGCAAACATATTTATAAGTTAAATGACCTGAAATTTCCATCGGCCTTGAAAGCATCTTATCTGTGGATATAATTTTGCTGCACAAATTCAATTAGTGTGATTGGCTGGAGGAGACTGTGAGAACTCTGTTCATCGTTCCGGTGAAAGGAGCTTACTGTATCTGATGAAATCTAATTCACCTTTCAGGGAAGGGTGTTTAAAGTACAATCCCACAGTAACTGTGTGTTTGAAGGGAGAACATTACCTTCTGTTTAATCGTCTCCTCCTGTTGTTTTATTACCTGCTTTTAAATCTCCTGTCCTTATTTGCAGACTGTCTAAATTATTACACCTTTGACATAAGATCATCAAAAGTGGTTTCACACAGAAGACATTTTTAACTAAGAAAGGATTAAAAAGGGAAGTTTACCAGTAGCACTTTCTTGGCTAGTCCTTGGTATATTCTTGCATTGTATTGTTATATTTCAGCCAGTAGCTAGCACTGCTCCTCCTTCCTTAAGGTGCAACACCTCCACCTCCATCTGAAACTCCTCTAAATGTCACGTTCATCTGTGACACAACAACTCTTAACCAGGCTACACTGGGAAGACTAATGATATTTTCCATAAATGGAAACTGTCAGACAGCGCTGCGGTCCCTGTGGAGGTCCCTGACAAATGATACAACATCAAGTCTGTCAACTTGGTCCAACTTGATTCAATCATCAACTTTAAGAAGCCACTAACATCAACCTACAGCTGATAGAGTGACAACCTATAATGACGACAATGATGAGTCATTTGTGAGCAGATTTAAATTTTATCCAGTCGCATCCTCACAGTTTTCATCCCAGTCCAAGTTAGATTTTATGTCTCCTCTTCTCAACATTTAATGTTTGCACTCGTTTGGCATTTTCTATCCATTTATTCTTCTTGGCTTACTTTCAGCTATTATCAGCTCAGTGTTTAGTTTTCCTTCTTTTTTGGAGGGGAAGCAGTAAAGGTGCTATTTTAAAAAGCTGCTGAGAGTTAGATAAGTTTCAAGCCATTAAACATTTATTCTGTGCTTCCATCTGCAGGTTTGGATTATAGACACAGAGGTGGTTTATTATTTTTGCAAAAAGAAAAAGAAAAAGAAAACTGCACCTCTGCAGTGCAAACCCTGCAGAATTTATATGAATCCTCTCACAATGACACTGCAGTTTCCTTATCCCAGGACAGAATAGATGGAGTTTACAGTACATAAACCCACTAACAGGTCACCTGTGGTGACATTTACAATATTAGACGGGTATTGATTTGAGCTGAAGACATCATAAAAGTAAATGTCTCTCTGAGGGAAGATGTGAGGCTGTGTGCACCCACTCCGTCTCTTTACTCCCCGTGAGCTGATGCATCAAACCTTTCAGCACATTTAGAGGAAACATTATTTATGGTTGGATGAAATGACTGAGATAAAATAACAAAGGGAAATACACTAAAATTTAATTTCAATATTAGAATAATGCTAATGTTTGGAGTCCAACCAAGAAAATATTATGAGTATAGAGGTGAATTCAACACCCACTTATAAATGTCTACTGCAGGGCATTTTCTGCTGCACTCCAATCAACTCTAATGTGACACTGTTGTATTCACACAGTGTTAGTAAGTAGAGGGAAAGTAAAAACGTACCTAGAGTCATTATATAAAGTGGTTATATAAAACATATGGCATTGAATTGTTAAATTAAAATAATTCAATTGGAAAATAATGTCCGTACCCAAACATCCTGGACCCCATCTCCACCAAATACTAACCAGAAATACTACAAAAAAAAAAAGAAAATACACACGTACACAAACTTTTAGCTTTAGCTTAATTTACCAAGTTTTAGATTAATAAAAAAGTTTTTTTACTTCGACTTCCACCAGAGTAAGGTTACTTAAATGGTTGCCATGGAAACAGACAGCCAGTAGTTAAGTGGTGAGTACAATTGTACTGAACTATTCACAGTCACACAGTTGACATGTTGTTTACTTTTACTTTTTTGCAGCACTTACTCTGCAGATCTGCCGTGGGTTTGATATTTGTTTGGCAGCTGTTTATTTTGCTGGTTAAAAACTAAAATCAGATTTTGGAATCACTGGCCACGTTTGCAGCAAATTGGTAAAAATAGTCTGATATTTGAATTTTAGCAATTTTACCATGAGTCCAGTAAATGGAGTTTTTACCACTCCATTTATTTCCCTCTTTTCAACACTTATATCTGTTTTATATGAATGACTGAAGCTCCCCGGTTAAGGTGGTTGGTACCTTCCAGTGGACTCACCACCCGCAGGAAGGTTTGGTACGGTGCAATGTGATTTGGGTGGCGACTGCTGCCCCCGCGACCAGGAAACGGATAAGCAGATGAAAATGGATGGATGGATGGATGGATGGATGACTGAAGCTCACGTGACAGTGATAGACTTTCACACACTCTCACCACTCAATAGCCCAGCTTCCACTTCGTTACACTGGCTTTTACACTGCTTTGCACATGTTTGATGTCATATCTGCCCGTTCCAGTCAGTGGTTCCTGATTGCAGGCTGCACACTGGAGGAATAATTACGGCTTCAAGTTACATAAAGTCTCTTCTTCCCCGCTCCGTCGACTGAAACCATCAACTATGACTATCAACATTTTCGTGGATGAATGATCCACACATACATGGTTTTCCGAGTGGAACACCTGCTACAGGAAGGTCAGACATGTTCACCTGGAGCCTGGTAAATGAACACTACAGTGATGAGGAGTTCATCAAATTGTCAGGATCGACCTTTGAAACATCTAAGAGACTTAAATGCCTGCTCTTATTTCTATTGATTACACATTATGACATTCATCAGGAGTACCAACAAGTACTGCAATACCAAGAAGACAATGCTTTTAACAACCTAACAGATCTGCTTTTTACCTGCTTAAAAAATTCAAAAGTCCAATTACTAAATATTTATTTATTTGCAGAAAGATTCATTCCTTTTTCATTAAACTGAGAGAACATTTGTAGGAAACTAGATTTTAGTCCCAGACAAATCAGAGAAGCTGAGTGTGTCTGGTGAACTCCCACATGCCTTAGTGTTTTTAATGAATTGAAGGATTTGTACAGAAATGGCTTTGTTATTATCATTAATAAAGGTGTTTTTTCAAATACCCTCTTATACAGAAATCTTTATTTACCAATAATCTGTGTGAATTAAAGGTGTAATTTGAGTTGCTGTACTACAGTCTATTCCTGCAGTTTTATTTCTGTGTGGTCCAAGAATCAATCAGGACACAGAATGAGTCATCTTCCTAGAAACTCAGAACCAGGATTGCTGGTCTCCTACATGCTGATGTCTATCTTACAAGTTGCTCCTGGCAGCTGTTGTCTTTTGTTTCTTTCTTTGCTGTTTTTCTTTTTTTCAAGCACATTGAAGGTACGTAATTGGTGCACTCACATTCGGGGCGGGGAACACAGAACAACTAGCCCTTGAATCTTCACAGATAAAAACCTGAAATGAAACTTCAAATACCCTCACAGTAAGTCAGGACCTCAAAGACCAAGTGTCCCTAAAATAGCATTATTATTCACAAGAAGTCACCACGAAGGACACACACACACACCAAAATAAACAGGCAGTAAAACCTGTTCATATTCACATTCACAGTGATCATCCCTTCTCCCATTTTGCCTCCAGATATTACCCTCCAGAAAACATTACTCATCCACACTGAGGTGCTGCTCCTACAACCAGAGATGATGGTTAATATTCATGTCTCTGTTCTTTAGAATAACTTAAAAAATACTGAAATATACTGTGAGTGAGAGAATGCTGAAGCTATTTTTTCAACCACTTGTAACAAGCTCTTCTTTCCCAGGGATACTGTCATGTGGCGGTGTGTAAAAAAGCAGCGTCCTCCTTCCTCCCTCTCATCACTTTCACTTTGTGGTTACCCATTTCCCTTTGAGCCATCAGTCGGCCTACAGCGGTCCAAACAGCTCACTATCTGTGCAATAACACACTCTCTTACTTGTGCACACTAAACCTAGAGATTCCACTGGTGCACACATGCAGATGTTAAAAGCATTTTCAACATCCAGCTATTATCACTAGTATCATTCTGCTCCTCCAACGTGTCCGTCCTGCACAAAGACATACCAGACGTTGTGATTACTGCTAAGACCCTCGCTCCGAGTGCTGATTGTGCTTCACATCATTTGTCAGAACAGTGTGGGAGTCGCATCACAGCGCTGCCATGTACTGTAGGTAGTATGCCGATTTTAGATACCTGTTATTAACTGAGAGGCACACACAAATATGTTTATACAACATATTTATAGACAAATCCAACGGTGTCTGAAATGATTGACTGCTGTGGTGCGACTCACCCTATTAATAACAACTAGTGTACAGGAAGTGTCTGTGCAGCCGTGATGCTGATAAGGAGTATGTGAACACGAGCCGCTGTAATTGGATAAAGACTCAGCTGAATTTCAAATGAAAATATTTTTTAGAGTGTCAAATACTGCTATATTATAACATTTCTTGCTGTTTGTTTTCAAACTGGGCGCTGATGTTCCAAATTCTGCCTCAAGTCATTTAAAAATGAAAAAAGTGATTGTGCTGCATTTTTTTAAAATTCTGAATGTTTCATGCTGACACAAACAGAATCTGACAAACGCTAGCAGAAATATGTCAAAACATGTCATATTTCAAGTCCTGGTTTTTTTTGGCGACGCTCCGGGAATGCTTCAATCTGTTCTGCACACTCACATGAGACATGAGAGTCTACATGTCTGACTGACCAATGTGTCACTGTTTTCTTACTGATTAACTGAACTAACAGTCAGATTTTAAACCCCTGCCTGAGGGGCTGATGTACAAAGCGCTGCTTGCAGGAACAGTGACAATACACCAGGGTCACCCTTTGTTATTTGACAGAAACGTTTGTGAAATTGATTTGTCTAAAACACTTACTGTACTTGTCAAAGGTGTAAAACGGATGTCTTACACTGCATACCAATGAGAGGGAAACAGGTTGACTTGATGAGGATGCCACAGAAACTCACTGCATTTGTCACTGCGTATATATATATATATATATATATTTTTTCTCCGCCTTATTTTTAACCTTGTGTCTGTATCGACTCCTCAGTGATGCATGCAATAGTCAGGATTTCTATCTCAGAAATGAAAGGAGCGTATATATTAGTTCTCTGGTGAGGAGAAACTTTGACAGCAGACATTTTTCTGAGAGATGACCTCTCACAGTGTCTCTCCTTCTGTTGCATTTCAAAGAGGAAAACTTTTTTTTTTTCTGAATGAGAGCCGGTCACAGCTATAAAGGGAGATCTCTCTCCTTCTGTCCCTCTGTAACACTGCTGTGAAACATAAGTGCCGTGGGCTGCCAACGTGACAAGCAGCCAACCACTAGACCACAACAATAATACATGTTACAGGGCCAGGTGAACCCCTTCATTCTCTGAAGTGTTTTTGTTTCTCCACCCTCAAGTGTAAAGTGATGAGTTTATAGACGAGACAGTTTCCGACTCGGATGCTTTTCATCCATCACTTGACTCAATTTCCAGGAAAAAGACGAGCTTACGCTTCTTCATGAAGTGCTTTTCATAAACATGCACAACTACATTCACACTGTTTGGTAAAAACTCCTCATACACACATATACCTCCTTGGTAGAAGTATATCAATCTATGCTTTATCATAATCCCTAATCTAACTCTCATCTCACCCTAATTGTGATCTTAACTTGAACCGCAAAATACCTACTCTTATTTATATATTTATATAAATATATATGTAAAATATATATCTATATTTAATAATCTTGACCCAAAAGTATACACCCACACTTTTTATACTTCTTCTTAAACTAACAAATACACTGTTTTTGTCTTTCTATTCACATACTGATGCAGGATAAGAACGTGACAGCTAAAGATTTACCTTCAAACTTGGAACTTGTTCCATCTTCACACGTTCCTCCTTTTTGTTATTGTGATCCGGAACCCAAGAATGATGAAGATGTGGTGCAACGTACATGATCAGATTAAAGATTCTGAAAGGACTGAAGAGACAAAAGATGATGGTCACAGCAACGTCGTATCACATGGAAGATCACAACATTTATATCACATGTTCACATGACTTTCCTGTCACAATTTATATGTGGCACGCTCGTGGATACTGTGTGGACTGAAGGCGAGGCGAAGATTCTTGAGTGGAAACTTCCAGACTACTCAGATTATCCTGGGTCAACACTAGAAAGTACGACATACGGTGTCCCTTCAAAAGAGGAAAAAAGTTGTTCAAGACGTTTTAATGTTTTGTGAAACATTAGAGTCTTACTTTGTCACCTGTCATATTGGCACGTAAATCTGCAGGGAGATTAAATATTCAAACTGGCTCCTGTTTCCATGATCATAAATGACTGCTAAATTTGTGGAAATTAAGTTACTCTTTCCATCTGGCTGGAATAAAACTGCTGATTCAATTCAAGAGTACAGTTTTCATTATCTTTGTCTCGCGGCTGTGAACACAGTGGAGACGGCTCTCAGACGAGGAGACGTTCGGTTGCATACAGTTCAGGAAAAGGAAAGTGAAATTAGCATGGAGCGACTGACAATAGAAATTATGCTAATTTGAAACTGCACTCGCTCTCGAACAGTTATTCAGACCGTTCCCTGAAACGTTTGCTGCAGCAGCGATCTCCATGTCATTTATGTTATGGCACATCATGACTGTATTGTCTCATTCTCACTGTCATGTAGATTTTACTGGTTAAAGTAAGTCTGAGTTAGAAGTTACAAACTAAAAGTCAAGGTATTTGCTTTAACTGCTACGAGATCAAATACCGTATTAAATAGTACGGGAGTCGATTCAGGATCAAGTCTGAAAACAGTATTTGTCTTCTTTGCTATTCTAACAGGTGACTGGTACGTCCTCTTGCTTCCTGTATGTGCCATCTGGATTTCTTGTTGCACAAACAGACCAATTAAAGTTTTGGCTTATAATAGTGTCAATGTTTTTAAGCATGATCTTGCCTTAGTTTGCAATAGTTTGAAAAAAGAACAATTATAAGACCCACGTATTACAGAATGGTAATTGGTCTAACTAAAAATAAACGATCCCCATAAACCCTGTAAATAGTTCCATGAAGGCGTCAGAATGTTGTAATTAAAAGAATGTCTGTTCATATTGTTATGCAAATGAAAAAGACTTTGATTAAAACACAATGTGAGCATGTGACTCTGAGTGAAGACGCCACAGTGGGAGTATGGAGTGATGCTTTGACCTCTACAGTCTGAGGGATTAGGGAAATTATTCCTAATCTGTCAGTCATTAAAAAGCAGCTGGGGATTACCGTGCACGACGCAAACAAGAAACTCATTTTTTTCTTTTACCTTTGTCTGGACAAGAGGTATTCCACAAATGGTCATGTGTGCCTGTTGCCATGGTTACGTGGCACGATGGGCCCAGTGTAATGTGGGGCTTTAAAATGTATAATGCATTCTTCTTAAGAGAAAAATGCCTTCATTGTCTTGTGGCTATAAACTGTTGCTCCGTGTATTCTTCATACAATACAATACAATTTTTTTTTTGCCTTACTTTGGCTAAATTTGCTATGTTGTTTCTCTAAAAGAGTACAACAGGTGATGGGTCGATTTTAGTTATTTAGGACAAACAGGACAACTGCTGACAGTGTAGTTAACAACTGGTTTTTAAATATATGCAGCTACCAATCACAAGCCAGTATGCTGCACAATTGGGGTAATCCCAATCGCAAGGTCACGTCAAATGCCGCAGTTTTGTAAACTATAGTTTGTACTACTACTACATCACTGTACTGTATAAAGTTTTACTAAAGAGTACTACTTAATTCTTTAAAGGGTTATTTGGAAATGACCACATAAAGTATCAGGTTGACTAACTGATGATACCACACATTCACAATACTGTAGTTACGTTGCTCTACGCACGTAGACTGCCCTACGGCACAGATTAGGAAAGTCATCACCTTTATATATGACAAGGGGAAACTCATGTTCACACATATTGGAAAGCAGAAAACACAGTTCTTAGTGTTGCTGATGCTAATTCAGGTGTGAAACCAGAGACGCAGCGTGACCTGGTAGTTAACAACTCTGACCTACAGCTTGGTCACGGCACCTTTACCCCAAAGAACACCGTGAAACTGGTTACATGCTTCTGCTGCAGGGCGAGGTGGAAACAGGTGTGCTCCTACTGTCTGCCCTATTCCCATTTGTGACTGGATATTGTTCAGTGTCGTGCTAATCAGAAAATTGAGTTGGTTAGCAGGCAGCGGCAGGTAAAATCCACAGCTTCTCTAATTCAGTGAGAGTTTTTCATTTAGTATCCGCAGAGTTGCCTGACATTTTGATTTAATTAAACTCCCAGGTCCGAGCTGCTGTCACTGCATGGCCTGACTCCAGAACACAACACAGGGCCAAGTCAGTGGGGTCAGTGTGACCTCACAGTCTCCCTGGGACCTTTACACAACATGGGCATCTGCGCTGGAGAGAGAACAGACCCTGGGTTCACATGAAGACTCATCCATGCAAGAACACAGAGAAGGTGCAGATTTGTCAGACAGCTAGCAGATTCACTTATCACAATCCTTACTTTTTCTTTCAAATCATGATCATATCTCTTGAGTTCCACTCTTTCTTGCTAGTGTTTCACTGCCTCAATAAAAAAAAAGCAGTATTTATCTCCCACACAACAATCAGGAGAGAA